TTCTAATTATGTAGGCTTTCAAGGGACACATATCTAAACACTGAAGAATTCATCGACGCTGTGGCAGATGAACTGAAAGCTAAACTCTTGAAAGCCAAGGCATAATTGATAAATGTATGTATACATTCTTCTTTATTATTGATGCTGGATTCATTGGATCTGAATTGAATACCACCACCCATTTCATATTCTCACCATCCATCTGTTCTTGGCTTGGATGCAGCGGTGGAAATGGCATTTTGTAGTTGACAAAGAACAGAAAACAGTAATAACGCCTCGCGACAAGAGTATTGATTTCTTTTATACAGATAATCATGATCTGTATAATTATTATGATACTGTATTATTATTATTATTAGAACACAATTGCCAGTTCCAAGTAGCTTCAGTTGGATCTTTTTTCGTATGGAATGAGTGATGCAGAACTATTTTATTAGCCATTGATTTTAAATTTGAGCTTCTTCTACATCTTACTCTGTTTACCATAAAAGCCTTAGCTGGCAGAGAATCTTTGCTCCAGAAAGGCACTGGATGAAGCGCCAGCCAAGAGCCCTGTTTTATCTGTTTTTAATAGCATTTGATCTCATCCATCCTACACTCGTATAACAAAGAGATAAGTTTAGATATGGATGGGAATAGGCCCTACCCTTTTGTTGGCCTATGGCCTAGCCTAATTAAGGTTGGTAAATTATTCTGTGGACCCGAATTTATCTTACAGGATGGATACGAATTTAAAAATATACAATTTATGTATTGAATATTGAATGTTCATAATTTGTATATCAAATATTACAATTACATACATAATTTGCATACTAATTGTAACATTCAGTATGTAAATTGTGAATATTCAAAATGTAAATTGTGTATTTTGGACTCCCATCTATGGTATAATTGTTGCTCGATTTATTTCCATCCATGTTTTGAACTCTTCTTGTGCATGCTAATCTTGTGAAACTATATCATTTATTATGCATGAGAAATGGTATATAAAGCATTTGGGATACGTTTGAGATACAGTTAATCCAATATGAAAATGTATGTTATTGTATTGACACAATCTCTTCACAAGTAAATTTTCATGCTCTCATGTAAAATCGCATTTCATTAGTGGTAGTGATTCATTTTTCCTTGTTTTTCATTTAACTAATGAGAGACAAGTAAAGTAAATAAATTTTTAATTTCTTTCGAACCGTGTTGGTCGTATGATAACTAGAACCTTCTAGAAGAACCAACAATAATATTGCGTTATAGTATTTTGAATCTTCAACCTACCTGTTCAGAGCACATACACAGAATATATTATATAGGAGAGTAAATAATCTTTTTGATAACATAGGTTAGAATGGTAGTTGACAATTGTGAATTTTAATAGAAAAAAAAAGGTTTGAACGTTTCCCCCAAATGTGAAATGGATCATTTCCAACTTCCAAATCTAAGAATTTTAATACTACAAAACTATGACTCTTTCGAGACGCCCAAGTTTGGAGTTCTAACTTTGATTCGACAACAAACTTTTCTATATAATTCTAGTAGTCCGCCCTAAAATGTCAAGCTGGGGAAGTTGAGATCAATGATCACACTTTTGAATTTTCCTTTATTTTGTACAATTCTTTTTTTTTTTCAATAAGAGAAACACTAAGTTGGTTTAAAAAGTAAAATATTAACAAGATGTAGGTGGAATCAGACCGCACAACAAATCATACAAATTTTAAACGAGGTAGCGGAAGTGTCTTCTTTTGATATAATTCTTCTTGATGTTAAAGATATGTTACAGTCTTTTACTTCTGTAACTATCTCTTATGTTAATCGTACTATAAATAGGATAGCCCACGTTATGATTAAAGAAATATGTTCTATGTCTGTACGGCAGGAGAAGTTTGTCCCCTCCATTGTTCATTTTTAATGATATATACTTTGATTTGAATTAATGAAATTATCTATCTCCTCAAAATGAAATTATGTTTTGTTTTCAAACCAAAAAAAAAAAAAAAAAAAAAAAAAAAAAAAAAAAAAAAACCATCGTCTAGTGTCCATTCCCACGTTACCGTATCCAGCGTCAACTGCCGGTAATTATGGCATTTAGGCTGGCTAGATCTGCATTATTTTATTGGTTTTGTCAATTCCGTTGATTGATCAGTTTGCTTATGTTTTTTATGTTCCGTGGCGTGACAATTATTACATTACATTCACTAAGTTCTAAGATAATTATTTTTCAAAACAGACTCAATTAAATTGGTCAAATAATTAATTTAGTAATTATAATATTTCAACTTCCACTCTTACTGGGAGGAGCTTTTAATTTTCTTGATTGGAACTAATCAATTATCAGCAACTTAAACTAATTTTACTCATTATGATCCTTTGACAATCATAATATTAGTAATCAATGGACTCACTTTTTATGGTTTAACTCTCCACGATTCTATGAGACCAAAATGTCCTTTACGGCAAATTATGTTATGGACCTCGTGTCCACCATGTGCATTGTGGACACGCTGTACATTTATAATTTTTATACTGTAGATTCATAATTTCTATACCATGTGCATTGTGGAGCGAACAAAAGTAATTGCATTATTAGAAATTGTCAACACATTTCATTTTATAAAAAGTTTCAGCAACTTTATTTTTATTACAAAAATAATCCTAAATCATTTAAAAATATTTATGATATAAAAACATATTTAAAACTTTATCCCTAAAAATTTTCATACATTATAAAATGAAACTTAGCCTTTCTTCACGCGGGATGCTAAATTAATACCCAAGTATACTCTTTCACAAAACGTGTACAACAAGAAATTAATTAATTATTGAAATTAAGTACTTATGAACTTTCTTTTGGGTGATGAGAGAAATTTGGCTCTTAAAGCAACATTATTTGTTTGGTTTTTGAGTGGATGAGTTTTAGCAGTGACATGTAGAAAATAGAAGGGAGAGAGAAGGAAAAAAAAAAAAAAGGAAAAAGAATCGATCAACAATTTTTTTAAAAAAAGAAAAAGAATAATTGCCAGGTTTACCGTCCAGCTGGCGCATGCAGTGCGCCCCACGCACACGCTGAGCGGTAATGCTTCCAATTAACAACCTCAGTGGGGCCCACATGGAATTGTAATTTGTAGGAGAAAAAAAATAATTCACCCCCATTTGTTTACAAACTATAGTATCTGTTTTTTTGCCTGCAAAAACCTCAAAAAATGCACAAATGAGATTGCACTTATATAATAACTCGTAAATCACACATGAAATAAAAATACACTAAAAAATATTGACAATTAATTCTAATCGAATTCATGACATTTTGGTACAAGAATTATGCTCTATCCAATTGACCACCCCTTTCGTACCTTAAGAACCCTTTTGAACGCATATCAACATGCATGTTGTTGGTAATAAAAAATAATTATTAAGTAGAGTTAATCAATGATTTGGTCCCTCAATTGTTAGTGAACTGTCAAAGTAGTCCCTCAATCGCTTATTCACCAATTTGGTCCTCGAAAATAATTGTTTTTTGTTGATTTAGTCCCTCCGACCGTAGTCCGTCAACAAACCGGCGAGAGCTCCGATTTACCAGGGGCATTTTTGTCTTTTCTCAAGTTCAGCCATCTTCTAAACCCAAAGCTTCGGATTTCAAAACGGACCAAGAGTTCTATGACCATCGGTGACCCTCGATCGCCTCCAGCTCTACAAAACCCATGGGCGACCCAGGTCAGTTCGAGAAATCAGCTGAATTCGACGAAAACTTGGGTCGATTGCATTAAAAATTTAGTACTACAGATTTGGGTAGTTAGGGCTTAAGGGGCTGAAAACCCCTATATGGGATTTGGTATTCTCGGAGGGGAGATCTCCAATTCCAGTGAGAGTATTGAATCCAAAGTTTTTATCTTTGCTGCTAAGGATTTCAAGAAAAAAAAGTGTTGTTCAGTGAGGGGGGTCAATGAGAACTGTCTTCCTTCCCCTTGGTACCCATCGAGCAAATGCAAAAGAAGCTCCAAGTTGTGGACTTCTATAAGGTCAATTGACTTTTTTATGAATGGAGATTTAATGTGGTCCGACATAAGCTCTTCCCCCGACATGGAAGTAATTCCATGGCAGAAACTCAACAAGCTTTTGCATAAACACAGGTAGGCGTTCGTTCAACAAAACCGCAGGCACTTTCGGCATGGCATCGTGGATGTTTGTTACTCTCACTCTCTCAGTACTTTCACTCCCAGTTCTTCCAAGTAGATTCGACGGGCTCAGCGGCAGATCTGGTGATAGATGGACTTGGCTCCATTTTTCCCGGCGACGAGCAAGCTCCGGCGACTTGTTCTGGCAGTCAGAGGCGGCAGACGGCAACGTGCGTTTTTCCGGTAAAGCTTGGTCAGAGAGGATGAAGAAGATGGCGTAAAATAGTGAGTTGAGGTGAGATGAAGTGAAAAGATGAAAATGCCCCTGGTAAATCAGAGCTCTCGCTGGTTTGTTGACGAACTACGGTCGGAGGGACTAAATCAACTAAAAACAATTATTTTCGAGGATCAAATCGATAAATAAGCGATTTAGATACTACATTGACAGTTCGCTAACAATTGAGGGACCAAATCGTTGATTAACTCTTATTAAGTATATTATGAACTTCTTGCACAATATTTTTCTTGAGAGAAAAAAATAATATTACCCCTCCCCCCCTCCCCCCCCACCCTCTTTTGTTCTCATTCATAATTTATTAGTATATTTTTATATTTCAATATTATTTTTGATATATATTCACAACTTACTAGTAAATTATATTCAATCACAATTTATCACATTTTTATATTTCTACATTTTTCTTAAATAAATTTCTAAAGAATAACACCTCATCTGGGATTGCTTCTGGGAAATGTCAATTATTACAACATATAACTTGCTTCATTACTTGGTAATAAATTAAATAATATTGAGTTATTAATTTAATAAGAATAATAAATAACAAACATTTAAAATAAATTAACACCACGTTATTCCTACAGATGTGCCCTGCCCTCTCTCCAAATCTCTGTAACAGCTTATAAAAGTCTGTCCACTTGCATTCACCTCTAATCTGATCTGTTCTGTTCTGTTCACTTCAATTCTCTCCAGTCTCGCCACCGCCGTTCTCCGTCGATCATCCGCCGTTACAATGGTTCTGTCAAGGACTGCCGTCGCGACCGACGCCTCCGTCCACTCAACGTTCGCCTCCCGATATGTCAGGACGTCGCTTCCTCGGTAAGCATTCCCTGTCGATCGTCGTGCTTTAATTTTCATTTTCTTCTGTTTTTAAAAAATTGTTGGTGCCGGAATGTCGCCGGAAATGGCGGAATCTGCAGATTTCAGATGCCGCAGATGTCGATCCCGAAGGAGGCGGCGTACCAGATCATAAACGATGAGCTGATGTTGGACGGGAATCCGAGGCTGAATCTGGCCTCCTTCGTGACGACGTGGATGGAGCCGGAGTGCGATAGGCTCATCATGGCTTCCATTAACAAAAATTACGTCGACATGGACGAGTATCCCGTCACCACTGAGCTCCAGGTAAGAGAAATGACGATTTGATGCTCGTTAGGTTTTCTGTTTCATTGATTTACTGAAAACAGTGAATTTCTATTTTTCATCCCCATTTTTATCTCCTAATATTTACTCAAACACGGAAATTAAAGCATCCGATGATCATCTCAAGTGTGTAATTTTAACGGAAAACATAATACATTTTAGAAGAAATTAATTAAGTATTTGACACATATGAAGGTAAATATTAAGCATGGGGATGCAGCTAATAATTTATCCAGCTAAAAATTAATTGTTACTTGTGGGAATCAAATCTGAATTATCCAGGAATTCTCCCTTATAAGGAGAGTTCATTTGCCAATTGAGCTATCCGCTGGGTTAGGAACTATGGGATTGGGTGAAATACTGTTTTATCGGTTTTGAATTGAAATATTTTGTGGTTATTGTATCAAAAAAAAAAAATATTTTATTTGAAGCTGAAGTTGGCTAATGGTTGTGGATATTATGTAGAATCGATGTGTGAACATGATAGCGCACATCTTCAACGCGCCGCTGGGCGAGGGAGAGGCCGCCGTCGGAGTGGGGACGGTCGGGTCATCGGAGGCCATCATGCTCGCCGGATTAGCGTTCAAGAGAAAATGGCAGAACAAGATGAGAGCCATGGGCAAACCCATCGACAAACCAAACATCGTTACTGGTTCCAACGTTCAGGTACATGCAAGAACATAATATATATATATATATATATATATATATATACTAAATATGTAAATTAATTATTAATTTAAACTTTTAGTTGAGATATAACGTAACAGAATGTTTCTTATATGTATGTAGGTATGTTGGGAGAAATTTGCAAGGTATTTCGAGGTGGAGCTGATAGAGGTTAAGTTGAGAGATGGGTACTACGTTATGGACCCTGAGAAAGCCGCAGAAATGGTGGACGAAAACACAATTTGTGTTGCTGCCATTTTAGGATCCACTCTCAATGGAGAATTCGAAGATGTTAAGCGCTTGAACGATCTCTTGGTCGAAAAGAACAAGGCAACCGGGTAAATATACTAATTAATTCCTGATAAAACACTGGATTTTATTAATAAGTATTTAATTGGTTGGTGATGATAGGTGGGATACGCCGATTCATGTGGATGCGGCGAGCGGTGGGTTCATTGCTCCATTCATTTACCCAGATCTGGTATGGGACTTCAGGCTGCCGCTGGTGAAGAGTATTAACGTTAGTGGTCACAAGTATGGGCTTGTGTATGCCGGAATTGGTTGGGTGATCTGGAGAAGCAAGGAGGACTTGCCTGAAGAACTCATCTTCCACATCAACTATCTTGGTGCTGATCAGCCTACTTTCACCCTCAACTTCTCTAAAGGTAACCATCATTAAACTCCCCAAAACCCATTTATCACAAATTAATCTTTCTAACCCTTCAATTTTTATCTAAAGAGTAATTCTGAAACTGGGGTGTGGTTGAGTGGAAAGGACTCGTTCATCTTTAATCTTAATCAAAAGTAGGGTTTGATCCTTGACGTTGAGAATGGAACAACCTTAAATCTCTAGGCTAACTGTCTTACCCAAAAGATGTGCTTACAATTCAGCTCGAAATTTCTGGGCAGACCCAAAAAAAAAAAAATGTTAATACCTGCAGATCCAATGAAATTTGAAGTTTCATCTCATGCTTATATTCTTTTTGAATGTATATGCAGGTTCTAGTCAAGTGATTGCCCAATACTACCAACTAATCCGTTTGGGATACGAGGTAATTAGTTACAAAAAGAATTCAATTCCATATATATTCATGGTGGTTGCGGGTTCTGATCTCTAGCTCGTGAAAATATTTGCAGGGTTACAAGAATGTGATGGAGAATTGTCAAGAGAACGCAATGGTACTGAAAGAAGCATTGGAGAAGACAGGGAAGTTCAACATCATATCAAAGGACGTGGGAGTCCCGTTGGTGGCGTTCTCGCTAAAAGACAACCGCCGCCACAACGAGTTCGAGATCTCCGACATGCTCCGCCGCTACGGCTGGATCGTGCCGGCGTACACCATGCCGCCCGACGCCGAACACGTCACCGTGCTGCGCGTCGTCATCCGGGAGGACTTCTCCCGGACCCTGGCGGAGCGCCTCGTCAACGACATCGAGAAAGTCATCCACGACCTGGAAACACTCCCCGCCAGGGTCGGCGCCAGAATGGCCGCCGATGAGGTCACCGCCGTTCCCAAGAAGACTGAACGTGAAGTCACCCTGGAGATCACCAACGCCTGGAAAAAGTTCGTGGCTGATCGGAAGAGCAAGAAAAACGGCGTGTGTTAATATGCATGCCCACCTATAGCACATCCCTAATTAAAAATAATTTTTTTAAATATTGATTAATTTAGTGGAGTTTACGTTTTTTTTTTTTTTTTTCTAAACTCTATTTATGTTCTCTCAATTGATTGTTATGTTAAAATATAAGATCTGAATTTCAATTTTTTTTAATATGATCTCTCAATTATTTTGGGGACTTTATTTTCACACTTTGCTACTTTCCTTTTCTAGTTGCAAAGAGGCTTAGTGACACTATGGCCGACTCGTCGTGCAGTCGCAAAAATAAGAGTGTCACACTGTATAACAACTGATGAACTAAATAAAGTAAAAACATATCTCTTATATTTTAATATTTTGAATAATAATTAATTGATATATTAAAAGTGCAATTAATTGATATATAGTATCTATAATCCTATTTGAAGTTCACAACAAAGGTTGTGGCCGGCCATTTAACCTTTCCTTCACGGCGGTAACAGGATATGTAGCGTTTTGCACCACATATGTGCTCACACTCCCAAGCAATTATTTGTTCTTCAGTTTTTGTTTTTTTTGTTTTTTGTTTTTTGTTTTTTTTTTTTTTTGGGTTCTGAATATATAAATGTTGTCTTTGTGTGTGTATGAATGGAAGGTGGTTGTGCAGCAGATATGTGTATGCGAATATATATATATATATATAGGGAAAGCTGGAAAGATGTGTCAGTGAAGTGGAATTGGTTATCTTTCAATTTGCTCAAGGCCGATAATAAGATTTTTTTGGGTAACCAGTGTTTTTACTATTCAAAAGTGTATATTAGATAAATTTCGTTCATGTGTAATAATTCGTGAAGTGCACATAAAAGATAAATCACAAGGTTATGTGTGATAGACTTGATTAAGAGAGTGTTGACAATTAAGAATCAAATTCGACTAAAAGAAATTAAAATTGAACAAAAGGTAATATGAAAAAACTTTATCCAACAAGATCGACCGGGAGAATGTTCGGCAACAATCAGCTTAATTGATTATAGGGGTGAAGTTTGGGAAGAATGACCAGGGAGCAACCTCTCAAAGTGAGGGGAGGTCCTTGTACGCATTAAATAAAGGTCTAGCCTCCGTGATTCAGTTGAGTGCCTCCCAGATGCTTTGTCGGACCGGAGTGTGGAGAGCCCTTGGGATGGGGGATTCAACCTTTTGGGAAGAATAATAGTAATAATAATAATAACTAATAAAAAGATGTCATTGGTGGCAATAGTGGCTCATGTAGATCTTTCATTCAGTTTCAACAGAAAGAGAATACAAGAGTATATTAGCTAATACAACTCTAACTTCTCCTAACTAATAGACTAGCTCAGTCAACTAAAACTACACCACATAAATACAAACTATACTATAACATAATAATAATACATGATATAATAATAGTATTAACAATGCATGCCAATAATTAAGCTAGCTAGTAAATGTACGCCACTTAGTGCACAAGAGACAAATGAGACAGTTATATTCCTTGCTATATTGAAAAAGTAACTGATGAAAAGATGGAATTATTTTTATTTCGAGCTTCGGAATTCAAACTCTTTGCAAAACTAAACGTTGATGGGTAAATCACTTGAGCTATCCTAACTTGTCTTGAGAGGGGTAGGTGAAACTTGGTTCCAGAAAATCACGAGTTTAATTCTTGTCAATATTATATTCATTCATCAATTGATCAATAGGATTTACCTCTCATGTGCACACCTCAGCTCCATGTATTGATTTGATTACTAGTTTTTCTTTTCACCAAAAAAAGAAAAACATCCCTTAATACTATAGTGTGCGCCATTAGTTCTGCAGATTCTATCTTGATGTTGTCAAGGAAGAAGAATATGCATGTATGTATTAACAATAAAGAAGCTAGGGATTGAAAATAGATCAGATTTAAATGTCTGACTTTTCAAATCTATGCCTTTAATTAGTGGCTTTGCTCTAATTCTTGTCTTATATTATATCATATATATCATAGCAGTCTATGATATTCCCGGCCTCAAGAAACAAGTTAATTTTTTTCCAGTTTCATCTCCATCATGACAAATTAAATAAATATTATAGTCCAAAATAGAGGCCCAACCCCTACCCAATTTGATTTGTACAATGATATGATAGAAACTAATTTTCAATTCAAATAGATTAAATCGCCTTCGAATGGGTAGTTGAGTTGGTGGAGCATGACGTCACGTATCTGTTCTATACTTTCTTTAACTACTGCAGCCCGATCCTGTGACCTTCTCTTAAGGGGAGTCACAGAGGTGCCATTTGAGTATAAGGTGCTTAGCAACGTGTTTGATTCTTATCAATATCATTTCGATTGAGTTTGTTGCAAAGGGTCTTATGTGCGTGGTTAATGTAATTTTTGCGATTTTTCTCTCTTGTGTGGTTAGTAGGCTACCACATAACCATTGAGGCATTACAATTCTGCTCACTTAAGCAATCTGTAATTTGTGTGAAGAAAATATCTGGTAAAAAAAAGAAAAGAAAAGAAAAAAAAAAAAAAAACAACCTTGACAACCAAACCATAGCTTGCATAATTAGTTTCCATGTGGACAAAAGTACCTTTAATTTGAAGCAATTCGGATGAACAAGCTAAGTGACAACCAACTCAATTAGAATTAATTATATTTTGTAAGCTAAGCATGAAGTCAATAAAATATTTAATCAACTCATCGTTTGTACCACTCATCCACCAAACCTATAAAAGGCCTAACCTAAGCTCACCATGTAGGTTAATTGGATTAGAGTACTAAAATAAAAGGTTATATAATTAATATAATATTGTAATATACTATATTACTATTATAAATTAGTATAATCATACTAACAAAATTGGTATATATTCATGTCTTAGATAATTCTTTACTAAGTTGTCTAGTTTTATCTCATGGCAAATTTCATTGAAGTGACAATATGATAATGCTAAGATTTTTGCAATATTTATTTTCCTCTAATATAGGAAAAAAAATATCCTTTTATACTATCAAAATTACATTATTATGTGTTAGCGTTTTATTACACATAAACGAAATTTATTTAGTATACATCCTTGGATAGTGCTTGCGAGTTTCTTTTGTCAAAAAAAAATAAATTATACTATTGGTGTATATCAACATCAAAACTATATAATGTCAAATGTGGTTTAGTCAATTGAAATTAAAGTATGATTTTTTAAGACCGATGGGGATGATTAAATTAATTGGTTAACTAGAAGTGGGTCAAAGTCGCTACTAAATACTAATTATGTATCAATATACTGATATGAAAATCTCATGTAACAAATTTTAGTATACAATAAAATATTTTACGTGTATATGATGTGTTATAAAGTTTCAATACTACCTTTTACTTTAATTTATAACATCGGCAGTTTAAACAAACATAAAAGTTAAGACATAATAACTAATAATAGCTATAATATGATGGATCAAAATAATCACTTTGTTGTATAATTATGGATGGTATTGACTCGTCTTCATAATTGAAAAACTAATGATTAGTCATACATATTTTATGGACCAAAACTGCAATTAACTCATTAATCAAGTATTCATATGCAATACCCATTTGGTTAACGAGAAATTATTGAATCTTTTTTTTTTTTTTTTTTTTTTGAGAAAGACACTACCTAGTGTAGTGGATGTTATGGAATTCTTCTTGAGATAGCCCTGTCAACATCAGCCTGGAGGAGCGTCAACATATCCTCAGGAACCCCAGTCACGATTGTAGTACCCCACTCCGCGATTTGGCTCATGTTGGCCAGGTAGTCAGCACATTTATTTCATTCTCTCAATACGTAGGAGAACTGAATAAAGTTAAACCCATTTGCCAGATGTTTACAATCGCGAATCATCCCGATTGCCCGATCATCAATTATATCTATGCCATGCATGATTTGACCACAACTTTCGAATCTAATCCATCTCAATATCCATCCTATCAATCCCATTGTCCTTGATGAGCCGTAGACCCTCCTTAAAACAAAATCAAAATGAAATTATAAAATTTAATTTAAAGATGAAAAATAGTACAAATAGTCCAAAACTAAAACAAAAAATATTTAAAAATTGTACTCTCTATTTTAAGAATTTTAATTCATCTTAAACCGAAACATTCTATTATTAGAATTCCAATTCCTCTTAAACCGAAACATTCTATTATTAGAATTTCAATTCTTAGTTTAAAATCAAAACCAACTTTTTAACGTGACTTGAACACATGAATCATCAACATTAATATTTACCTTACCCCAAAAAAAAAAATCAACATTAATATTTAGTTTTACGTATTTCTAAAAAAAAATAATAAAAATTCCTATTTTCTATTTTTGGTATAATTCTACTTGTTCAGGCAATGTGTCACGTTTTCCTTCCCGATTCCGTTGTCAAGTCAATATCGATTATTGTTGCTCGCTTCCAAAAAGTCACGTGAGCCCCGACCCGACCCGTATGTCTGAAAATGCGAGTAGTAAAAATCTTCAATTTTCTGCATCTACTGCGTTTCATTTCAGACTCTTCGCAGTTAAATTGCGCCCCTTTGCCGGGGAGATCGAGATCTGTGCTTTCACCCCTCTCTCTCTCGCTTTCTCTCTCTTGATCTCAGTATATTCTTATATATATATAGAATAGATAGATATACACGCTCATACATAGGTACGGGTGATTGGAAATGAGGGAAATGGGGAAGAAGAGGGCGGTGGCGCGGTTCGTCGCCGTTCTGCTCGTGGTCTGCTGCGCGGCGCCGGTGAGATCGGATGGATCGGATCACAAGTACAAGGCCGGAGATGCAGTCCCTCTGTACGCCAACAAGGTCGGGCCTTTTCACAATCCGAGGTAATCTGTTATAGTTTTATCATCTCCTTGCTTAGATCTCTTCATTACTCATTTCTTACGTTCGTGTGTTTCGTTCCGTTGAGCTGAATGCATTGCGATTCTTATCCGTGATTAGCGTAATTGTGGACGTAGGATTGTAATTGGGGGTTGAGATGACTAGATGAGATAGAATTTTGTGCAGTTGACGTTTGCGTCAATGGCACTGTTGTGATCTGATGCAATTTCTTAGCATTTAGTTTTTCAGTCGGTGCAGGAGCTGATAACTATGGTAAGGTAAGAAAAAGAGTGGATATTGAAGTTAAATCGGGATCTAATTGTGCCATGACAAGGAAAGGCTACATTTGGACATTCCGAGTGAAAAATTAGGTAGAGATTGCCAAAGATTGAGGTTTGGCTTTGGAATGCTATGTAGAATGGTTTAGCGATTGACCTTAAAAGAGTTAAGGGGATCAGGGGATGTGCTTAGATCATTTTTGAATGTTATAAAAGATGTAGGCTATTAAGCTGAATAGCAGTCTGATTTGTGATTGTTTCTTCATTTGATTATATCTGAGCCATGCAGAACTGAATTCACCATTAAGTTATATATGAGCATGTCTTTTCCTGTTCAATCTATTGATCATGCTTACAGAATCTTTCTTATTTGCATAAGATGCATGGCATGGGCAACAGATTAGTGATACTTAAACAAACAATATTATAAAAAAAAAATGTGGTGATACAGAATCTGTTAAGGTTGTCACTCAATTCTGTATATGAGTAATTATTGGTTTTGTTTCCCACTTTCCCTGTCTAAGGCATTTAAAAAAAAAAACATATTTTCCCTGTTTCTATTGGGGAAAATTGTTAGTTATTGCATAGGGTCCATAGGGATCTATTTTAGGAACTTATAGTGATATCTAAAGGAATACAACTTTAATACACACAAGTTCATATTGTGAAATATAAAGGAATTGATACGTAAAACTAGAGATGTATTGTGCACAATAATGTATGCGGATGCATATATGTATTTCTGATATTTGGCTAATGGCACAAGTCTTGTCTTTCCCTGACTTGCAGTGAAACATACCGTTACTTTGATCTTCCATTCTGCCTAACAGGTTAGAAATCAGGATATGGCTTTTATTTCCAAAGCTACTTTAGTGGTATTATTTTCAAGTTATTAATGGATGGTGTTGGCAGATGATGTGAAAGAGAAAAAGGAAGCCCTTGGTGAAGTCTTAAATGGTGACCGGTTGGTCAGTGCACCCTACAAGCTTGATTTTATGTATGATAAGGACTCTGAAAGTGTGTGCAAGAAGAAACTATCACAGAAAGAAGTTGCACAGTTCCGTGAAGCTGTTTCGAAGGATTACTATTTCCAAATGTACTATGATGACCTGCCTATTTGGGGTTTCCTTGGGAAAGTTGATAAGGATGGAAAATCTGATCCTAGTGAATTCAAATACTACCTATTCAAGCATCTTCACTTTGAGATCTTTTACAACAAGGATCGTGTGATTGAGATTAATGCGCGAACTGATCCTAGTGCCCTAGTTGACATCACTGAGGACAAAGAAGTTGATGTAGACTTCATGTATTCTGTGAAATGGAAAGAAACAACTACACCTTTTGAGAAGAGGATGGAGAAGTACTCCCAGTCATCATCTTTGCCACATCACTTGGAAATTCATTGGTTTTCTATAATCAACTCCTGTGTGACTGTTCTCCTCTTAACTGGATTTTTGGCCACTATTCTTATGCGGGTTCTTAAGAATGATTTTGTGAAGTAAGCAGCATTTATGATTTATTTATTCCCAATCATTAGTCTGTTTGAAGACAAGTTTCTTGTACAACTTTACTGATTGTGAATTGTTACATATACTGCAAAGATATGCTCATGATGAGGAGGCCGCTGATGACCAAGAAGAAACTGGGTGGAAGTACATTCACGGTGATGTTTTCAGGTACCCAAAGTTCAAGTCGTTGTTGGCTTCAGCCCTTGGTTGTGGTACTCAGTTATTTACCCTGTAAGTATGTTGTGGACCTTCTATTGCTCAGTTTAGTAAACCTATCTTCTTTGAACTATTAAAAGAGCTTCTGATCTCATTGTTGTTTTTTGCCTGTCCATGCTTCCATTTCCTAGGGCAATCTTTATTTTTGTTCTTGCACTGGTTGGTGTATTCTACCCTTATAATCGAGGAGCCTTGTTCACTGCTTTGGTCGTCATATATGCTCTCACATCTGGGATTGCTGGCTACACTGCTGCGTCTTTCTATGGCCAATTAGAAGGAACAAACTGGGTATGATTTCATGGCTTTGTTGTAGAGTGTTATTCTTTATAACAAATTTGGTAGTTTGCTTTTTAAATTAAAAGATCTTTAATGTTTTATCATTTGTCCTATTCATCAAAGATTTTTGTTAGGGGCTATCAACTGTTAACATGATTGTCCAATGTGAAATTATGTTTTCAGTGTTTCTTCAATTGGTTTGTGTAAAACTGTATTTGAAAGTGAACATATTTATAATTCAAAAATTTATGTTTTACAGGTCAGGAATTTGTTATTAACTGGAGCATTGTTCTGTGGGCCCCTGTTTCTCACTTTCTGTTTCTTGAACACTGTAGCAATTGCTTACAGTGCTACGGCAGCACTACCATTTGGTACCATTGTGGTTATCTTTTTAATATGGGCTCTTGTTACATCACCTTTGCTTGTCTTGGGAGGGATTGCCGGAAAGAATAGCAAGGCTGAGTTTCAAGCTCCTTGCCGTACCACTAAATACCCAAGAGAAATCCCACCATTACCTTGGTATCGTGGAGCTCTTCCTCAGATGGCAATGGCTGGATTTTTGCCTTTCAGTGCCATATATATTGAACTGTACTACATATTTGCAAGTGTTTGGGGCCACAGGATCTACACAATTTACAGCATCTTATTTATAGTCTTCATTATTCTTCTGATCGTTACTGCTTTTATTACTGTGGCTTTAACCTACTTTCAACTTGCTGCCGAAGACCATGAATGGTGGTGGAGGTGAGTTCTATTTTTGAGTATTTACTGTTCCTTAATCTTGTCAAGGATATTCATTTGATGTTGCATTTTGGTTCATCTATTTTTACCTTGGATTGATCAATGTCTTAGATCCAGACCTAGTGACTTCTAGGAAGTTGGAATGGCCTTAATAGTAAATGGCCTTAAACGATGAACTATATTGCCTTCCGAAAAAATTAACCTTTTTTTTTTTTTTTTTTTTTTTGCCTCTTCTCTTATGTTCGTGTTTAGATAGCATAAGGGTACTGTGGTCTGTTGGCTTCCTGATCAAATGTTCTAATTTGCACATATTTCCTGCGCTGAACAGGTCTTTCCTATGCGGTGGATCAACTGGACTATTCATCTATGCCTACTGTTTGTACTACTACTATGCACGCTCAGACATGTCAGGCTTCATGCAAACCTCGTTCTTCTTCGGGTACATGGCTTGCATTTGCTACGGCTTCTTCCTCATGCTCGGGACGGTTGGCTTCCGCGCATCCTTATTCTTCGTTCGCCACATATACCGCTCAATCAAGTGTGAGTAGTAAGTTTAAGTTGGTGGCCTTCGACTCCTCCATACAGCACCCCCCGCAAATTTGGTAGGGCTATCTGGCATCCAGGACTTTGTAGGAACAGTAGGATTTTTCAAGAGGAAGAAAAGCTTGTACTATCTTACTGCCTCACTTTTGAAAACCTTTTTCCAACTTTGCATTTACAGCACAATAGTTCATATCCATCTTGTAGTTTTAGTGTTTCTTCATCTCTATATATTCACATCTTTTTTATATCTCAATTGGAACTCTCACACTCCAGGTTGCTTGCTTATGAGTTATGACCATATTGTTATCCCTTGCATTCTTTCTATGCCAGACTATGATTTTGAATCCCCTTCATCACCTGAAGACAGTCAGATTCTATTTGAACATTATCCAAGTCCACAGTTCCTTCAGCCACTTTAAAGCTTCTCGGATTATAAAAGCCATACCATGGGGTCTCCCTTGCCGCAATGAAGGATCCTGTAGAGTCCCTAAGCACATAGCCAAAACTCAACTTTCTGTTGTTGCTATCCAGCGCAGCATCCACGTTGAGCTTCTTCATCCAGCCGGCAGGGGGGGTTTACTCAAAACTCTCAACTTGACGGTTGTCTTAATTAATCAAACATTCATAAACTGTCTCGGAAAAGGTGATTGAGTACTTGAGTGGGTGCAGCCGTGCAGGGCTGTCTTGTGGCATCGTTTTTGTAAATAAATGAGGTCTTACCAAAAGTATAAGCGCAATATTTAAAATCAATACCGTAAAATATATGATTTTTATTTATATATATTATTTTCTAATATAAAGATTTCGAACAACTTTGTCATAATCATGCTCAATTAATTAGGAGAGAAGTGAAAATTGAATTGCAACTTTGGTAATCAAAGAAATTTGGGGAAAAGTTGTAAAATTAATGAAGGAAGAATCTTCTTCCAAAAGGTTGAACCCCAACCCCCCGGCCCGACAGAGCATTTGGGACTCACTTTGAGAGGTTGCTCCCACACTGCCGCTGGTGAGACTCGATCCCTGACCATTCTTCCAAAGTTTCACCTCTATGACCAATTGAGCTACCCATGCGGCAATCGTTATGCGTTGGACCTGTGGACACGGGTAACAGTGCCGTTAGGCACTGTTATCCCTTTTTTTTTTTTTTTTTTAAATTTCAGACCGCTTCATTTTAAGAGTATATGTTCATAATTTTATTACTATATGTTAATAACTATAAATTCATAACTCCATAACTGTACGTTCATAACTCTATAACTGTACATTCATAACTCCATAACTGTACATTCATAACTCCATAATTGTACATTCATAATTTTCGAAGCTCTATGTTCACAATTTTAGAGCTCTATGTTCATAATTTTATCACTATATGTTCATAATTGTAAGTTCATAATGTTAGAGCTCTTTGTTCATAATTCGATCAATAACTGTACATTCATAATTCCATACTGTAGATTCATAATCTCATAACTGTAGATTCATAACTCCATAACTGTACATTCATAACTCCATAACTGTACATTCATAATCTTCGAAGCTCTATATTCACAATTTTAAAGCTCCATGGTCATAATTTTATCACTATATATGTTCATAATTGTAAGTTCATAACGTTAGAGCTCTGTGTTCATAATTTCATAATTGCATAACTGTATATTCATAACGGCATAACTGTACATTCATAACGGCATAACTGTACATTCATAATAAAAAAAAAATAATAATAACGGCGTTAACGCCGTTAACGGCAAAACGCGCGCGATTTTTTTTTTTTTTTTTTTTATAACTAAATGACGCGTTTTTTTTTAAAACGATGTCGTTTTGGGCCCGTGTCCACAATTCAATGTGGACACGGGTCCAGGGCATAATTTGCGGGCAATGAAGGAAGAATCTTGCCTTCTTCAATGGTGTTGTATGATTAAAAAAAAAATCATTTTTGATTGTCGTTAATGGGGTTATGTTGTGCATAATTTGAACTAGATATTCAGAATTAATGAACTATATATCCAGAATTAATGAATTATATATCCAGAATTAGTGAACTATATATCCACACCGATTACTAGTACTATGTTTTGGCTTATGGCAGTTCGTTGTGTCTGTGTATTCAGAATGATAAATTTAGAATTAATGAATTATAAATTCAGAATTAGTGAACTATATATCCAGAATTAATGAACTATTAGTAAATTTTTGACTTAGTTGAGAAAAGGGCATTAAAAAAAAAAGGAATTCAAGTACAAATTATAGAGCACATTGACCCAAAAAGAAAGCCAATGACATTTTCATATTTAGTTATTAACTAATAATTAACCAACTTGGTTGGCGTGAGTGGCCGTGCACCTTCCTTAAAAGAGGTCAGGAGTTCGAACTTCTTCTCATATTGAAAAACCAATCTGGCCACTCCGGCAAGCAATGGGAGGTTACTTATTTGATCATTATTGTATAGGCTTAGTGCTACTAATATGAATCGAACCCAAGTGGCTGGGTTACGAGTGTAAAGTAGAGACCACTAGACTGGGATGCTTGTAGTGCTCAAATCCCCCATCTTGAAGGACGGGAAGGGTGTCTTATGTAGTGTAGAGGGCATTTCGAATTGCTGACAAGTGTTCGGCATCGACCAGACCTCCATATCCATCCTCCACGTGTCTCATGCATGCCTCATGTCTTCTCCCACGTCTCTACCTTCTCTACCACCCTCCCTACCTCTCACTACCACCTTAGTCGATAGGGGCGCCGGGGGGCGCATGGTCCCCGCTAGTCACGCCATGACATGGGGAGTTCGATGGGCTCACATTGCTAGCAACGCGCTAGCCGGAAGGGTCGATTTCCAACCCCCTGTCGTACCTTACCCTAGCACGCCATACCGCACCATTCCGAACACCACAACGCACTGCACTGCACCCCCTCGGGAAAAGGGGGCGCCATTGACATGCCTGGAGGCACACCACCCCGCTGGCCACGCCGTGGCCTGAGGTGGCCGGTGGGACACGCCGCAGGCTGGTGGTCAAGGCTGCCCGCCCGAGAATATCAGAGTCAACTATAAGCTATTGCGCTTTAGTGTATAATAATTGATGTGGGTTGGTGGGTTGAGGTGTTCCTCTTTATACTAAAGGTCTTGGGTTCCATCCTTGTTAGTGGCTTCCTTTACTTGTTTTTACATGACGGGAGCCGCCCTCCTTTACTTGTGTTTTACATGACGGGAGCCGCCCGACAACCTCTTGGGTTCCATCCTTGCTAGTGGCTTCCTTTACTTGTTTTTACATGATGGGAGGTCAGGAGCTGCCCGGCAACCTATTCCCTGTCCTCCTTTGCTTATTTTTACATAATGGGAGACGGGCTAGTCTTTTGGGCCACTTTGCTGGTCTTCTCATCCCAATAAGGTTTGAGCCAACCTCCTTCTTTCACCACTCCCATTTAAATTAATTTGCTAATAAAATAGGCTCCCGGAGTCCCCTATCCTCATCAGAATGAATCGAACCTAACTCTCATACATTAAATTCAAAACTTTGATTATTGTTAATATATTTTGGACCGGAGTTATAATACATGTTTTTTTAGTGTGATTTTTTGTAAAAAAAAAATAAAAATAATAATAATAATAATAAAAATGAAGAGATCAGTAACGCTCAGGTGCTGCCCACTGTTGATGCAAGCGCGTGGTGTCCGCTACAAATCTGATCCCCATTTTCAGTACAACTCTGTGAGTCGGACTTTGCACTCTACTCTCTGCTTGATTCTCTCTCCATCTCTCTCTCGTATCTCTGAGGACTTGCGATTGCTTCGTCTCTGTTGACTTTGTAGCTCTCTGTTGTGAGCAACTTGCCGGAATGAGGGAGATGGACAGGAGGAGGGCGATGCGCCACTACGCCGTCGTATTGGCGGTGTTGCTGCTTGGCACTGCAACGGAGGTTGTGAGATCGGATGCGTCGGATCACAGGTACAAGCAAGGAGATGAGGTCCATCTGTACGCCAACAAGGTCGGCCCTTTTCACAACCCTAGGTAAACGTCTTATACTTTTTCCATTTCAATTTGTTTTGTTTCTGTGTATTATATTTACTTCGATTTTTAGTTGCTATGATTTATATTTATATATATATACACACACACACACACTCTGAAGTTCGAACATAGAGTTTGGATTTTTACTTGCGTAATGAATTCATGGAAAATGTTAATTTGTAATAGTTTTAGAATGCCTTTTTTGTTGGTAGGGAATTCATGAATTTTGCTTAGTATTTCTGGAAATTTTGCAGAGATAGTTTTCCCATCTTTTCTGATATACTGTTTATGCACAAATATTTAAAGCTCTGTTATTGAAGTTATGGATCCATAGAAGTACTGGGCAGGTTTTGTGGAGAAAGAAAGAAGTTCAATGTGTGGATTTCATCCATATAGGAGAAAGAGAATGCATTCTCTAGTCTTAACATTATAAAACACTTCATTGGACAATTGTAAATTTTCTTCCTTTTTTTCCTTTGTTGGCTTTAGTTACCAAAGTTTTTCTAGAAATCTTGTAGTAATGTAGTGCTATTAAGTATATTCTTCCTTACTATTTGCCTCATCTTAGCGGTGAATTTATGTGCTTATTTGTTTTCCAGCGAGACTTACATGTACCATGACTTGCCCTTCTGTTCACCAGGTAAATGTCTCTCTCTTCCCCTTCTCTGTTTATTATTGAAGTCAAATTGTTTATTGTCCAGATTTCACAAACATGAGGATGCTGTGTTATTCTTGCAGCCAATGTTGAAAAGAAATCAGAAGCACTTGGTGAGGTATTGAATGGAGATCGTTTAGTTCATTCCCTTTACAAACTTGATTTCTTAGCTGATAAAGAGTCCGAGGTAGTTTGCAAGAAAAAACTGTCAAAGAGTGATGTGGAGAAATTCCGACATGCAGTTGCAGAGGACTACTATTTCCAAATGTACTATGATGACTTGCCAGTTTGGGGTTATATTGGCAAGGTTGACAAAGAAGGGAAATCTGACCCCAGCGAATACAAGTATTACTTATTTAAGCATCTCCATTTTGAGATCTTCTACAATAAAGATCAAATCGTTGAGATCATTGCAAGAGCTGATCCTAGTGCCATGGTTGACATCACTATGGATAAGGAACTTGATGTAGATTTCATGTACTCTGTGAAATGGAAGGAAACAAATACTCCTTTTGAGAAAAGGATGGAAAAGTTCTCGCAAATCTCTGCATTGCCACAGCACCTGGAGATCCATTGGTTCTCAATTATAAATTCCTGTGTCACAGTTCTGCTCTTAACTGGTTTTCTTGCAACAATTTTGATGCGAGTCCTCAAAAATGACTTTGTGAAGTGAGTTCATTTCCTTTATAAGAATTTTCTCTGTAGTTGTACTTACTCAACCGATAGAACTTTAGGTCATGAAGTATGGAAACTATCTCTTTCAATACCAGAGGTAATGTTGTTGTTTAGTCCTGGAAACTACATCTACCCTCCTTTGATCTTGGATGATATGAGATTATTGTACATTGAGTCTAAACTTTGAGAAATATTGTTAGTCCTTTAAACTCATACTTATTACTTCTCTTTTCTGCTTTTACCCTTGTCCCCTAAAAGATATGCTCATGATGAGGAAACAGCTGATGACCAAGAGGAAACTGGGTGGAAGTACATTCATGGTGATGTTTTTAGGTTCCCAAAGCACAACTCTCTGTTTGCTGCAGCACTTGGATGCGGGACACAGCTCTTCACCCTGTGAGTATGCATTTGAAAGAATTTAGTTGGATTGGTTTAGAATCTTCTAAAAGCTAATGAAAAATCTCTAGATAAAAATTTGATCGCCCCCTCTTTTTTCTTGGTTCAATCATTTTCATCAGTGCAATATTTATATTTTTACTCGCACTTGTTGGGGTGTTTTATCCATACAACCGAGGAGCTCTTTTCACTGCATTGGTGGTTATATATGCACTGACATCTGGGATTGCGGGTTACACTGCAGCCTCATTCTATTGCCAACTTGAGGGAACAAACTGGGTAAGCAACAACGGAGTAATTTTTTTTTTATTTTTTTTTAAATAGTGATTTTTTTTTTTATATATAAATTGTTAATGCTGTTTCTTTTTTATGGCTGCCTTTTCTGATAATTACTTATTGCTAATACATAGCTGGTCATACTAAAACTGTTCTTTAATGTGTGAAATTCATATTTACAAAGCAATTTATTTATTCAGAAGCTTATTTATCACACGAGTAGTTTGTCTGAAAGCCAGTTGGCGAAAAGTGCTTATATATGCCTATTTTTCTCTCTCTACCTGCTTTATATTCCTTGTGAACAAGTGTGCCAAGACCGTGAACACATTTTGACCTTCACAAAATTACTGAGTAAATGATATTGTGGTTACTTGGGTTCATGATCTGTATTTTAACCTAGATGTCTCTATCTGTTGATGTCTAGAGTTTTATACCTCATCTGAATATGTCTTACATAGTTGCAGCACCATTTGCTAAGTTTTGCCTGATTACCTTGAGTCCTTGACCTCAGTTTACACTCTGCAATCGGACTTCTAGGGTGGTTTACTAATCGGAGAAATTCTCAATTTTTCTGGGGAAATAGAAAATTGGAGAAAGGAAAATAGAGAATACATTTACTTGTACATTTGGAAAACAGAGACCGGAGAATGAAAAACTGGATAAATAAAAATTAAAGAATTGAAATAAACACAGCCTTATTATTTATTTATTTCCATTACAAATGCAAAAATTTGAATGTTTTTAGTATAACTTTATTGTTCTTGTTCTCGTCTTCAACTTTTCATTCATTTCATTGCAAGGTTTTCTGGCAAATAGAACTTGATATTTTATTCCACTTCCAATTTCTTTCAACAGGTTAGGAATTTATTGTTGACTGGAGCCCTCTTTTGTGGACCACTGTTTCTCACTTTCTGCTTCCTAAATACCGTTGCCATTGCTTATGGTGCCACTGCAGCCTTGCCATTTGGTACTATTGTGGTCATCTTCCTGATATGGGCTCTTGTAACATCACCTTTACTTGTCTTGGGTGGGATTGCTGGAAAGAATAGCAAGTCAGAATTTCAAGCTCCCTGCCGAACAACCAAATATCCCAGAGAGATCCCATCATTACCTTGGTATCGTGGAACAATTCCTCAAATGGCCATGGCAGGATTCTTGCCATTCAGTGCCATCTACATTGAACTTTACTATATATTTGCCAGTGTTTGGGGTCACAGGATTTACACCATTTACAGCATCTTATTCATAGTCTTCATTATTCTTGTGATTGTTACTGCCTTTATTACAGTGGCTCTGACCTACTTTCAACTGGCTGCCGAAGATCATAAATGGTGGTGGAGGTAAGTTGGTTACTGCAACGCTTAGGAAGCACATTTTTTCTTATCTAAATAACTATATTTATTAAAAAAAGAAGAAAAGAACAAGGTATGTTCTTGTTCTGAGCTTTGATACTATCTATTGACCCTTTTAGGTCTTTTCTGTGCGGTGGATCAACTGGCTTGTTCATCTATGGTTACTGTCTATATTACTATTATGCACGATCAGATATGTCAGGCTTCATGCAGACATCATTTTTCTTCGGGTACATGGCTTGTGTATGTTATGCCTTCTTTCTCATGCTTGGAGCTGTTGGTTTCCGGGCAGCACTGTTCTTTGTTCGTCATATATACCGCTCAATCAAGTGCGAGTAAGCAGCAAGGCATCCTGTTTATTTTGTGCCGGTAAGTGTCTTTTGATAGGAAGCCTGCATAATTTTCACGGAGAAGCTCTATTTCCATTACTAGTTAAACGTAGTAGCGTATGTTTTCTTCTCAGCATTCAGATCGAGACATGATGCGAAGCAAGTAGAAAAGTCACGTGATATATAAACTAGGATTAATGACAGGCAACATGGATGAGCGTATGTATCCAGGCAGATGAAGATCAAACTAGTTGGACTTGATAGCATCATGCTTTAATGGCAGTTAGTATCTTCTCATTAGTCATTTCTTCCCTTCCTTCCCACCCTCCTGTGTCTGCTTGCAGGATCTCCACTCTGTAGGTAAAAAAACATTATGGATATGTTATGCTTGTTGAATTCTGTAGTCTTGTTGCACAATTTCATGTCTGCTTGCAGCCATGAAAAAGGTTAGATGTTAGTTCTAAGGGACAAAATATTATTGATTTATTTTCATTTTTGATTTCACAATTGTTATGACACTTTCACGTTTGGTACGGTATAATTTTTATCGCATTTGGTGGATGATTATTATTTTTATTTTTGTCACATTTAATTTTTTGTTTTGGACAGTCTGTCTAGAAAAGAATAGTTGAAATGCATCATATATATATATATTTTTGTCACATTATATATATATGCTTACAGTGAGGCTCGAACACTAAACCTCTCACATAAGGAACCAAACCGGATACCAGTGGACCACAAGTCACAGGAAAAAGTTATGCATTGTTAAATCATTACGAGCAGGTGAAGTTTCTAGTCACGTGCAACTTTGAGTGACCGGATACTCTCTCTATCCTATTTTATTTAAGTTCGGTTGACCGGAGTTATTTTTCATAATATTAAATTTAATAGAGGGTATTAGTACATAAAATTTATATATTTAGAAATTACATATATTATTAAAACACAAAAAATTAAATTAAATAATAAATAAAATAAGTAAAAAAGAAAGAATATGTTTGACAAATGAATAATAAACCAGAGAAAGGGAGTATATATTTTGGTATTTGGTAAGACTTGACTTAGAATATTCTTCTTCACTAAAATGTTAGTATGATTGATAACGCATAAACTACACGTATATGAAATATGAAATTTGGGAAGAATGAAATATGAATATGCGTCAACCTCCACCAGTGACGCTACCATTAAAGATGTCAATGGTGTCACCTTGACCAACATTGTGCCATCTAAAAGACCGATCGTCGTCCATCACGTTCTGCTTGTATATAAAGAAGTAGCCATCTTCCGGGAGCTCCAGCTGCCATTGATCCTTCAATCTCTCAAGCTCTTTCCTCAACTCCCTTACGTTTTCCGACGGATTCACCTCCACCGGAAACTTCTTCGTCCCGTATTGCGACACCACCATTATACGAAGCTTCTTAGAACTGTTCGTGTTTCCGGAGGATCCGGACGAGGTCGTTGTAGTCGCCGCCGCCGTCGCCGGCGGCAATGGCTTAAAGCTCACGTCCACTTCTGAGTGATCGGAGAGTTCGTAGTCGTGCACCGTCCGGTCGTCTAACAACTCGGTTCCGTTAGCGTAAACCGTTATTCTACTCACCGGAATGCCGTCCGCTTCTTCGATCCTCTCTTTCATCTTCCTGATGGTATCGGTGACCTCAACTTCCAGCGAAACTCCCGGTTTGTTCGCTCCCAGCATTTTTAAGAAGATCAGGACCGATGATTTACGATCCGGAGGAGGCGGCGGCGATGACGACGGTGCTAGCGGTGGTGGTGGTTCTTCAGCATTGCCGCCGCCGCCAGCGGCGGCGGCGGCAACTTGCTGCTTGTCGGTATCTGAATCGGAGGCGGCGACGACGAGCTGGACGTGGGAGCGGTCGAGGATTTCGGAGGAGTGGACGTTGAGATCATCTTGGAGGACGTTGCCGTTGAAGATTAGGGTTTGAGTAGCGGCGGGAATGCCTTGATATTTCTGAACTTTTTCTTTGATCTCTTGCACTGTGTCGAAGTATCCAATTTCAATGGTGAACTGCGTGCCTCTCTGAGGTTCAAAGATCAAATCCATATTTCAAGGTTAAGATTTCTTTACCCCCTTAGCTTGCTGCGTTTTGGATATATAGATCGAATTTGGGCTCTTGAGGAAGATAAAAGTATATATATATATATAGATTATAGATTTGGAAGTTTTGTATCAACAAAAATCAAGGATTCTGTTGATGGATTCGTTGGCTTGCTCCTACTTTTCTGCTTGCATTGAGAGCTGTTATGGTTTAAATAGCTACGAGGCAGAATCTTTTAAAAGTTGATAAGGAAGCAACTTGTGACTAAGGAAGTCAGTAACTAGGCAAAGTTTGGTGACTAAGTTGGACTATGACGAAGGACCACGAAGGAATGTGCACTAGACAAAGAAATTATCCGAGATGATTTTATGGACGACAATATTTTTATAATAGAACCAGAGACACTCGAAAAAGGCTGATTCACGATGATATCATTCTATACTCAAGTAAGAATTAATAGATGAATTATTTTTGATCAACTTAGTTTGTCAGATCAAACATACAACCACAAAGTCAAGAATTCACACGAAGAAATTATTCAAATTTTGGAGGCTACATTTTTCAATGGACTTCATGTAAGATCTGCATACAAGCAACGTTTGGATTATTTGAATTATCTGACAAAGGCGGAAAGGCTATTATCTAGAGTTGCAGATCAAGTTGACAACATTATTTGATCAACTACATTTGAAATAGACGATCAAGATCGAAAGTTGATCAGCGGGCAAATAGCTTTCATTGCTATAAATTGTCCAAGCAGACTTGAGACAAAGACAAGATTCACAGAACGGATTGACAACGAAGAATTATCCAATCAAACAACAAGTGAAATATTGAGCTATATACGTTAGAATTCAAGTATGAGAGAGAAATCTTTGTTTATCTTTGTAAACATCTCTACTGAGTGTAGAAAGAGGGCTTAGTAACAATGGGAGTGTGAAAAACCCTGGTTGAGTGTAGCTTTGTGCGTAGCACTCGTTGTAAAGGGCAAAGTAACAAGGGGAGCTTGTGAAAACCTTGTGAGAGCGTAGCTTTGTGCGTAGTTCTCGTGGTGTAGGAGTACAACTTGGTGCGAAGTACTCGGGGAAGGCGGAGTAATAATAGGAGCTTGAATTGTGAAAAATCTTGGAGTGTAGCTTTGTGCGAAGCACTCGGGGAGTGTCGGTGGACACTAATTCACTATTGTATCTGGGTGAACAAAGATAATGGATCTCTCCTTTGGACGTTAAAGGAGAAAGTGGAGTAGGAGAATTACATCATCTCCGAATCACTCTAAATCTCTCTTTCTCTCTCTCTACCTTACTTACTGCTCATTTATTTTGTGCATGCTTTTATTAACTGTGAACTAACCCGTCATTATCGATTGCATATCTTTATCTATCTGGGTTTGATAGTTCCCACGTTTTCATGCGAGCCAAAATTTACATACATCATCTTTGAGCCATATCAAGTGTTTTGAACGTATTGCATGTTTAGAATCTCTCTTTGAGCACCGCACTTTTGAGCATAACACTTTACTATTAACTTATTCTGCTGTGCTCACTCTAAGTTGATTAGTTGTTTATACTTGTTACTTGGAGTTGAAATTACCAAAGTGTTGTGTGTTTTAGAAAAGTTTGAAAAGTTTGGTACCTGTTGCCATATCCTACTTAAAACCAATTGGTGATAGGTAGGTGGACATTAACCATTTAACCACATATCTCCATGGTAAGCCACAGCTTCACGTCCCGAACCGAGCAGGGAACTCGGCCAACCCGGTCGACGCCCAACAAAGTCTATTCACCCCCTCCCCCTCTAGACTTCTCGCCACCCTTTCGGGACCAACATAGAGTTTAATAATTGTAAATATGAAGTTCAAAAATTATGAACATAAAATTTTATAATTATGAGTATAGAACTGTACCACGACATAACAAGCAGTCGTTATATTATAGACCGCGGTGCATGTGCACCGCGGTCAAAAACGGCGCCGTTTCTTTAAGTAAAGAAACGGCCCGCAGTTAGAGTTAACGGAGTCCGCTTGTTTGGTGTATTAAACACCAACTGACACTATAGTATATCTAAACCGACACTGCAGTTATATCAAAATGATACTGTAGTTATAGTGAAATGAAACTGCAATGTATATAAAATGAAACTGAATAACATTTCACATATTTGAGTGTATATTGTACAATGAAGCTGTAATTATATCAAAATGATCATGTAGTTGTGTTTTAATGAAACTATAGTGTATATAAAATAAAATTAAATAACATTTTCACATATTTGAGTCTATAAATATCGAATGAAACTATAGTTATATCGAAATGAAACTGTAGTTGTGTTGAACTGAAACTGCAGTGTATACAAAATGACACTGAATAACAGAGTTACTTTTTGCAAAAGGATGCGAAACGACGGAAACAAACACTGTTTATTTTCATTTAAAAAAAAGACGCGCGGTGCATAATATAATTTGCCCATAACAATTGGGTGGCATGATTTTGGGTTTTTAGTTTTGAAATTGGTTTGGACCGATTTGAGTTTAACTTTGAAATTGTGGTGATGGAAAGCCCATTCACTACAAAGTACAATGTGGGAGCGTTAGGTTGTACAACTATGTGCACCATGTAAGGTGCACACCAAATTGGATCCATAATTTTTATACTATAGATTCATAATTTTTATACTGTAGATTCATAATTTCTATACTATAGATTCATATAATTTCTAAACTGTATAGTTATCAAATTATGAACATATAGTTCAGTGATTTGTGAATACAGAGTTCAATAATTGGAAATATGAACATTGAAAATTATAAACATAGAGTTTTGTAATTGTGAATATAGAGTTCAATAATTATGAATTTATAGTATAGAAATTATGAATCTATAGTATAGAAATTATGGATTTATAGTATAGAAATTATGGATCAAATTCCGTGGTGCACACGGTTGCACAACATAATTTGCCTACAATGTGTTATCCATCATTATTGTGTGAATCATTATCCACATAGCTCTGTGAACCATACTATCAAATAATATATGTTCAATACACTAATAATATACTTTTAGTATATTAAAAATGTACTTTTTTATTATGATACATATGACATTATATGGACCATGGTCCGCACAATAATTTGTCACGTGATATAATCTAAGGTCTCAGCAGGAAATAATTGAAAAAGAAACATACCTATAAAATATAAATTTTAAAAATTTTAGTAAGTCAAATGATTCCCCTATATTATAACCACATACAAATTTTGTTGCAAAAGTTGCATACAATAAAAGGCAATTGCAGCATATGATGCAACAAAATGCAATCATTACATTAAATAAGTTTAATCTTAATTGCTAACTATGACCAATTTGTCACAAGTAGTTACTCTCTCCGGCCTTAATTATTTGTCATATTAATGTAGCCCTGCGGTTGTCTTCTCACCGGATAAGGCAACTCAAGTAGAAATTTACCTGGATCGCTTGGAGGTCGCCTTCTCTGTTGAGAAGGTGACTCACTGGGCTGCCTTCTCACTAGAGAAGACAGTCCAGTTGTCTTTTCTGGTGAGAAGGCAGTCCCTTGCCCTCTCACCGGAGAAGGTGACGGGAATTTTCTTTTTAAACTGGCAGCTCATCACCTTCCCACCGGAAAAGGTGATGGGTTCATCTTTTTTTTTTTTTTTTTAACTAATATTTTGATGGTTAAAAAAAATGAATAATAAATATTAATATTTGACCACATTTAATGATGGTGGACTTTTCTATTTGCACCACCTATAAAGTTATTATATGGTGTAAATAGCAAATTGGGTGGTGTAAATAGAATTACCCATTGAAAAATATAGAATGATAGTTATGTTCAATTTTGAAAAGATGATACTATTTTGGGACAAACTAAAAATGAAAGTAAGACATGTAAAATGGGGCGGAGGGAGTATTAACTATGTGATTGTCACAATAGATATTAACATTGTGGCAATTTTTTGTATCCCTCATATTAGTTTGTTGTGATGTGTTGCAAATAATATTTTTGTTCGTCACAATTAAGCATATCGTTTTGTTTGTTAGCTTCAATTGTTTGTTGCAATTGCTTTTACTATCATCGCAAGAAACTCAAGCTTGTTGATGGTGGAACAATGCACTAACCATTACGATGGTAGCCTAAAGAAGATAACATACCAATTTCTTGAACAACCCTTGCAAGTTTGCTATGCTGCATTTGCAAGATTGGGTATGTTAATCAAGATTAGAGAAAAATAGGGGGCAATCCTAGTCGAGTTGGTCGGGTTAGGTTGGTGACCATAAGGTTTCAAGTTCAACTCCCCTGTGGGAGCTGATGTGTTGACTTTCTCGGTTTGACCCGATCAGCCATAGGCCATACAATCTAGGTTGGTTTACTTCCTCGTTGTCTTGAAAGCTTCTCCCAAAAAGAAAAACCTAAGTTTGAGTCGGTCAGCCATAAGCAACCTAGGTTGGTTTTGGCCTTTTCAATTTGAGTTACAGTAATGAGTAACCTATGCCAGTTACTTCCTTGTGGTCTTGTGAGCCACACCCAATTAAAAATATCAGACAAGGTGACATTCTCGGCTTGAGCTGATTAGCCATGAGCAACTTAGGTTGATTTACCTCATTATAGTCCTAAAAATCATGATCAAACGTCATTTTATCTCTCTCTCCTCTCTTCCAAACCAACAAGTTTTTCTAAAAAACTATGAAAATTCCTTCATTGGAAATATTCTAAAATATATAGTTTAAGTTGTACTCGTTATAACTTATAACCCACACATGCATTATAAAATTTCCCTTAAACATTAGATTGTATTTGACATCAACTAACTAACTAGATAAGACAATACCTTGTTAAAACAAAGGAGTATCATAAAAGATTCTCACAATTATAAAAAAGTTTGTCACTTTGTCATGCATGACTGATGACTCACTCACAAATTATACCTCACATGGACTGCATGCAACCAAACAAAAAGTAAAACGATGCTACTGGCCTGGGTGGTGGGTATAGTACACAACACTTTTTTGACTAAGGACTATGTATAATATAATAATGTATATACCAATAATTATATTGTGAAACTATGAGTAGGTTTTTTTCTGTTGATTGGGTCCACTCTCGAGGCATAATGGCGATTGCAACTCAATTTTGATGGTCCCATTGTCACAACTCTAAAGTTGAGTAAAAAAGATAAATTGCATGTGTTTTAACTGTAATTTAATTAATTAACTAATTGATCGAGCTATGTCTTTATAGTCACATGTAATATATGATTAGAGCTTTTATTTGGTGAATTTCATACTTAGAGTCTAGAAGAAAAGGTAAATCGTAGCTTTAATAGCCTACAAAGTAGAGCTGTTAATTCTTAATTAGATTTATTAATGAGTGAAGTTACATATGATTAGGGTTTTAGTGAATTATATATATATATATATATATATATATATATATATATATATATATATAGTGTGGATGTGGGTGTGCCATGAAATGTATCAGGAAACAAAAGCTAAAAAGCTAAATAGGTTTCTTCATTTTGCATGATGTGTGATGTTTGTGACAACATCAAGAAAAGGTGGTGTCAGCTTTCCCCTTTTGCCTTGAAACCCAGAGATTTATAACCAAAGTCAAATTTGTTCTTATTTCATACTGAAATTTCAAATGTATTCTCATACCAATAGTGATTAAACTTTTAGCCTATAAAAGATCTGTTTTCTTTTCTTGTAATTGCAACTAAACACATAATTTAATTTAGTATTATTAAAGTTATTTTACATTTGTAATTACCCACCAACACACAAAAAGAAATAGTGATGTAGGGAGTAATTAAGTGAAGTAATCAATAGGGACAACCTTAATAACCTCAATAATTGAAGTTCGACTGACTGATTTAAAATTCACTCAGAGTCTACTTTCGGTGGGTTCTCGTATTGAACTAGCAATTGGATTTGGGCTCTTTGCTGGTCTGGGCTTGAGCATTCACCCTTTAGAAGAATCAAATGAGAATGATGTCTCAACAAATTGAAGTCGGCAAGGACATTAGAATACAAATTTTGAATCAAGAACACACAAAAAGAAAGAAAAAAAAAAAAAGGATCTTTTCTGGTACCATATCTCAAGGTGGTCTTTGAGAGATGGGGGTGGGTGTCTGCGCGTGTTGTTCGGAGCTGAGAGGGACTGGAGAGGCTGCGGACTCTCACAAATTGTGGCACTGAAAAACATGGAGCCTTTAATGGGCATTAAAATTAGCGTCGTACCTCCGACAACGACATAAGAGCAACATGGAAAACACAGCTTTAATCCCCTCTTTCACTTTTTCTTGTTTCTCTAATTACTCCCTCTCATCTCATCTTCTTCTGCATATATATATATATGGTCCCTCCTTCCTTCTGCACACTCCTGCACGCTTTCTTATTCTTCCTACCAAATTTAAATCCACAAGCGTACACCCACCCTTCTTGTTTCAGGTTCTTGTCCGCAACACAACCCACAAATCATTATTTCTCATCACATGGTTTCATCTATCTAACCCCACCATGCAATGCTCCTCAAACAACGTTACAAACTAATCCCTTGCCTTTATAGTAGCAACCTTAAATTTCCAAGCCAACTGTCCCAAAAAAGGGCCAACTACCCTTTGGGGAGTTCAGGACAATCCCAACTAAATTGACCGTTCTGTCAGGAAGAGGGAGGACTCCTAGTTTAGGGTAATCCCAACTAAATTGGTCGTTCTCTCAGTAAGAGTGAGGACTCATAGTTCAGGGCAATCCCAACTAAATTGGCCGTTCTCTCCGTAAGAGTGAGAACTCCTAGTTCAGGGCAATTACAATTCCAACTAAATTGGCTATTTTCTAAGTAAGAGTGATTTATTGCTCTTGTTTTGAGCGGGTGAATTATGTGCATCTTAAGCTAGTTTACCCTTTGTGATTTTTTTGCTGATTAAGATCAGAAGGCAAGATTTATCTAATGCACACTTTCTAATAATAATTGCCAGTTTTCCCTGGTCACTACTAAAAAACATTTGTTTATTCTTAACATTGTATTACAAAAGTGTCGGAGGAAGTGACAGATTTGACATGGCTAAGCAACTAAATCCATGGTACAAGATACAATGTGGGAATTAGAATATCCCGAGGATCTCGAGATTAGGGTGCAATTTAGGGCGGTCGAAACAACATTAGGGTGTTGTTGTCCCCATTTTCACCATGTGTAATGGCAGGGGGAAAGTAATAGTTCACCGCCGATTCTTGGAAGGCTTTGGTGCTGCGGTTGAGCTTGCAGGAATCGCACGTCGTTATTCTGTGTTGGGCGGCGCCGCTGGATGAACCGATCAGCATCTGCCATGTTAAACGATCTTTCTGCAGCAGCTGCGCGTTTCTGATCTGAGTCACAAACGCTTGTTCTCTCATCTTCTTTGCTCTTTCCATTTCCTGGTTCGCCATCTCCATTAGAACCCTCGCCTGCTTCCTCTTCTCCGCCGCCTTCGCCTTCTGCTCCATCGCCACTTTCATCACCGCTTTAGTCTCATTTCTCAGAATCAACGCTCGCCGCAGCAGCGTGTTATGATCTTCTTCTTCGTCGTCAATGGCGGCGGAATTAGCTGTTGCTTCTTCGTTTTTCTTGGATGGAAAGAGCTCTCGCAGCTCCAGGGTATGGCGATGGGGAGAAGAAGAAGAAGGTGAAGATAGATTATTTCCGTCTTTATGCACTGGGAATATTATCAATTCTTTCGCTGATGTAGCTTCTGTTCTTCTCTCGGAGATTAATCTGTATTGTGAATGAGGTTCAGCAGTAGTATTGAGATTCAGGTTGAAGATTGGTGGGAAGAAAGCTGCCGGTTTTAATGGCGGATGGAGACGATCGCCGCCGCTTTCTTTTCTTCTCGATTTGCATGAATCTTGATGCTCAATAAATGTTTCAACCCTAGAAATTTTTAATTTTTTTTTGGTTGAAAGAAAGAAATTAAACACAAACTCATATTCCTAATCCCTATATAAATCCCTATATAAGACAAATTAAGATCAGAAAGAAACCTAGAAAAGACACGACCGCAGTCGCAGGAATGGCCGCGGGTGCCGCAGGTTTTGAGGTGAGCTTTGAAGTCGGAGTGGACGGCGTAGCCTTTAGAGCATCTCTCGCAGACCCACTGTTTGTGGTTAGTGTGTTTCCTCCTAAAGTGCTTCTTTATCCCGACGAGGTCGCCCAGTGCATGCGCGGGGTCGTGGTGGACGCAGCTCGGCTCCGGGCAGACGTACGCCCGCTTCCTGGCGGCGGCCGCCGCCTCGTGCGGCGGCCGCTCGTTCTTGTGGAGGGTCCACGGCAGCTTGTGGCGGCGGCGGTGCATCTGCAGGTTTTGCTCCCGCTGGAAGCTCAGGTTGCAGACCTCGCACACGTAGCGGTCGGACTCCATTAACGTCTCCGGAGAAAGGTACACCACTTCTGCATCAGGATCTGCTACAAATCGTTGAGATAAATAAGAACAAGAATCGAAAATAATAGCAGAAAGTAAAGAAGATTCTGATTACTGATTAACAAGCTAAGATCGATCAGATAAAAATGTGAAAGGGAAAAGATGATAAGAAGAGTAATTGAAGATGATGATGAAACGGATCGGACCTGGAGTTCCGGCGGGCTTTCGCTTCCTCTTGGCGGTGGTGGTGACGCCATGGGTATTTGTAGGTGCTGAAGAAGAAGAAGGAAGGGAGATTGTGTGAGTGGCGAGCATGGCTGCAGCCGAGGAATCTAAGTTGGCTTTTCACATTTACAAAGGAATGGGAATACTATATTCAACTACCATAGGATATTGATCTGTGTGGTCGATACTGATACTATAATTAGGTCTCATCTTTCTGAGCTCTCTCTCTCTCTCTCTATATATATATATATATATATATATATATATATAGAAATATCATTCTTTAATTTCTCCATTTTTTTAAATGGATAATCGCAGTCAATATCCCAGGATCTAGAATGGGCATTGGATAAACTATGTTTTGTGCTTGCTAACTGACTTTCAGTGTGAATCGAAATTTTATAGTTACCAAGCCAACTACCCAACCAATTTAGCTATGGGTGTAATTTCTTAAGTTTTCTCGGAAACATTATTTGAAGTTAAACCTAGAATGGTCCACGAAGTAAATCATCAACCAGTATCTAATGGTGTATATTGGATAAATCGTGCTCATGTATAATCCTCTTTATTTTTGTTCTTTAAAGTAATTGGTACAATTCTTAGTTTATATATAGCATTGTATAGTACGTGCATGTGTGTCAGATCAGTGTGTATATGTACGTATATCATTTTAAAATGTTATTTCCCCTTCTGAATTTACAATTTAATAATTAGCGTTTATATCCCATGCGGCAATTGACTTTTTATATTTATTAGTTGTGCATCAATTGCTAACCCCATTACAAATCAATCATTATACAATGGACCAGGTTCACAGTGTATTGTAGATTTTAGTGTATGTGTAAATATTTTATGTTGTGAGAAGGCTCACAATTTATTATGGACGCTGGTGTATGTGTGCGTGTCTTATGTTATGAGTTTATATATTGTGTTATGAAATTTTGTATCTTTAAGAGTATGAATTCTGTATCTGAAATAAATTACTAATGGTATCTTATGTTATGAATTTCTGAGTCTGTGTGTTGTGAAATTTATAAATACAAATTATATACTTAAATTAAATTTGAAAAATAAGTAAATATATAACATGTGTATGTATTTTGTATTGTGATTTTTTGTGTGAATAATTAGGAGGGAATTGAGATGACATCAACATTCCAATTATTTGACATTATATAAATTTGACAGTGAGTTTTAATTTTAATTTAATTTTTTTTTAAAGAACTGTGGCTTGTAAATCAAGTTATGTACAAATATTCTAATTCATATAATTGTCAATGAGACTCTATTATTATGCTGCTGAATGTATGAAAGTTACAACTCCAAACTCATAATCTTGCTTGATCTATACTATATAATAAATTTGTAATTGAACTCCTAATCATCAACAAATTTTGTATTTAAAGTTCGAAGGCACCCCATCCCAAGCTTAATTTAGAACAGAAAAGGAAAAAGAAGAAGAGTTTATGTTGTTTGGCCGAGAGCTTACTATCATAGGAGTGAATGAGTTCTTTTATTAATTGGATGATAAAACATTTATGATTACAAGTATTATATTTATAGACAATTCTAACGGTACATTTACAAAATTGCTCATGTATTGTGTAAAGTATATATGAATGAATGGATGATATTATTAAGTAGTACCACAAAGGAGAAGATCACAAAAGAAATAGCATGCAGTTACAACAAGAAATAGACCTACTCTAAAGGAACCATAAATTATTAGAGAATAAAGCTACTAAGACAAATACTAAACAATTGCCTTAATACATCCCCGCAAGATGGAGGATCCATTGAAAATACCAATCTTGGAACGAAAGAACTCAAACATAGCTCGACCAAGTGGCTTTGGACATCAGCAACCTGTTCCTTCGAACTTATATGGCACACACAGACTTCACCCGCAGCAACGCGTTCACGAACAAAAAAATAATCTAACGCTAGGTGCTTCATGCGGGAGTGGAACACCGATTTCTTACAAACAAGGCTCGATACTCAGCCTCATTTGATAAACGAGAAACTGACTTCTACCTAACGAACTTCCAAGAAACAACATTTGAGCAAAAATAAACAACATATATGGTTGTGGACCGTCCACCTTCTCGAGCACATCCCCAATCAGAATATAAAAGGGCAGTCAAACTAAGAGACATACCGACCTTAAGAAACAAATTAAACCATGGTGGATCGTGCCTTTTAAGTAACGCAAAACACGCTTAGCAACTTGCCAATGAGAGTCAGTAGGAGCATGCATGGACTAAGACAACCAGTTAATAGCAAAAGCAACATCAGGACGAGTAATTGTGAGATATTAGAGCATACCAACCAACCGGCAATAACTAGCTAGTATCATCAACAACAGCCGAAGAAGTAGACAACATTTGCGCCCAAGAGCTTATTGGTGTGGATAACACCTTAGCACCATCCATGTAAAGTATAAATGAATGGGTAATCTTATTAAGCTTTGAGCACAAATATATAGTATAACAAAGGAGTAGATCAAAAAAGAAAAAGCATGCAATTATAACAAGAAATAGACATACTCTAAAGGAACCATAAACTATTAGAGAATAAAGCTACTAAGACAAATACTAAACAACTGCCTTAATATATTGTACCCCCACACCCCTAACCCACTTAGCGAATCCTGTTCGTTTCGCTCCACTATGCTCCAACACCTGTCATCTTTCGATAAAAATGGGATATATACAACACTATTAGGTAAGTAGAATGGGGTTAAAGCCAAAAGATAATAGTGGATATTGTTACGAATGATGATAACAAATGTAGTTAAGGTGGTAGATACATAGATACGGCATACGTATGTATGCTATAGTGGGTATTGATAGTTAAGATATATGAGTAGGTGGTAGTAAAAATAAATATGTAGGCAGACGGCAGTGATGGTGATACAAGATGATTGTAAGTATTACGGTATGTAAGAAATAAAAAGATAAGGTTAAAATTCATATAAATAATGGCAATCATGAAAACATGTGAGATTATGTATTTTTTGTATTCAAAAAACAATAAATGAAAGTATTTGGGAACGTGTAGGTCAGTTAAAATCAGTGTTGTAAAAATTGACTTAAGCGGCTGCCTGTTGGCTGATTGACTAGGCGCCTAGTTGGCGCCCAACTCGGCAGAGTGGTATTTTTTGCCTGCTCAGTTGCTCCTCTTCTATATTCCTCTAGCCATGTACTCAACTAACCATCTAACATATGTAGTTGACTAGTTTGTGGGATTGTAATAGTGTAACACAACCCTAAATGGGAAAAATGGAGACAATATACTCAAATTACTCAACCGCCTAAGTCGGAGGCGCCTGACTAGCGCCTAGCGCCTTCACTATTTACCTTCTTTTTCACGATTTACCTTCTTTATCAGTATTCAGGATATGAGCGATGATGGGTCATTAAGTTTGTGATTGAGTAAGAAATTAGGGATTGTAATTGATTTAGGAATTAGGAGTGGCAACAATGATTGCAGTGGTTAATTATTAGGAAATAGCGATGAAACAGCCTATAAAGACAAGATGGGTCCTGTTTCAATAATTTTCTGTCTTAAATCTGGAAAACATGAGGTGGAGAGTCTTGTTTGCATGTGAAGTTAATAATAACAAAGCTGAATTCAAGCCCAGGTTTAACTTTCTTTTGTTTTTTTGTTCAAAGACAAATACATTCATTCTCCACCCTGCTGCACCCACCTTCTGGAGAGAATGAATGTCTTGCCCATTCTATTTATTTATTTATTTTTGGTACAACGATAAGACCACTAACAAAGACTCATTAAAAATTTGTCTTAGCCCGATAGGTCATATCTAGGTCACCCATAACTGACTAGCTCAAACAAAAAAAAAACGAATATGCTGCTCTGAGGGTCAAACTTGAAATTTTGTGGTTACCAACCCAACAGAAACGATTATCTGTCTCATATAACTAAATTTAATTTTCTTAGAGCACCGCCCCCCCCCCCCCCCCCCCCCCCCCAAAGGCTGGCAAAGAACTGGACCAAAAGAGAGGAAGAAGAAGGCTGCAAGAACTGAGGCTCTGAAACGTACTCTTTCTTGACAAGCCATAAATGGGGAAGACATTAATTCAAAGGAAGCATCATTGGCCATACTACTACTAGAGTAGCAGCACTAAATTGATTCAAGACAAGATCTCCAGCATCTTTAATGGACATTATAGATAGACTGACAAACACAGTGCACACAACCCTTTACATTAATGGCGGTTTCGTGATTCCCATAGTACAAAAGACACGTTGTTTGGGTCACTGAAATACATGCCCATCTTTCCTGTGGTATCTTTCTCGCATGTTTAAACAGAGCATGGGTAAAAACCAAGAATTACTGCCACCTACGTTTCAAGAACAGAAGAATTACCTAGCAGAAGTCGATAATCTCTTTCTGGAAAAAAATTTCTTAGGAGACAAAGAGAGGATGAGTTGCAGGAGAGGAGAGGAGTTCAGCAATCGGCTTTTTCTCTGCAAGTTAGTGCCTCTATTGAAGGTATGATGAAATTTAAAGCAAGAAAGCTGTGAAGGAAATGCTCAATAGCTCGTCGTTAAACTGTGAATGACACGAGCATAGATATAGCATACTGTATGAATATCCAAATCCCTCGTTTCCATGAAGAAGTAAAAAGGGGGGAAATTTATTCACCATGTCATGCATGGGAGTGTCAATCAATGATACTGGTTACTGACACTATGAGTAGAATTGCTATTCATCAGACACTTTGAAGAATGTATACGAGAGGATGATGTTGTTGATACCATCCATCTTCGGGTCTGTTTCGAACTCGGGGTCAATGTAAAAGAATACCTACCACATATAATTTGATCAGTAAGTTATTTTTTTCAGGGAAAAAAAAAAAAAAAAAAAAAAAAAGGCGATTCTTTAAGACAAAGTTGAGAAGAAAGTTTACAGGCATGTCAATTTGCTCCCCGGGAAGTAGACGCTGTTCCTCGAAGCAAAAGCACTGTATTTTATTGAAATACACAGCAGCCTGAAACGATAGGAGATCTTACAACATTTAACATTCTCAAACTTCTGAATGAATGACACATGTCCTAAACGACGTTTTTACACATATACCTTCATTGGAGTGACGTTATATGTAGATACACCCGTAATTGGAGTTGAACTTCGATTTTCGGCAGTGTAGAAGGCAAGGGCACTCTCTCCTGGCTTCACCCTTACCTGCAGGCCGAACAAACAACGTTTCCATGAAACAAGTAACACAATTTGTACACTAAAGAATTCTCAAATAAAACAAACGGACACACAGGTCGATGATGACTGCATCAAGAAGGCACCTCTCGCTGTGTAGGAATAAACTTCCACGGCATTCCATCAGCCACGTCAGCATTAAATTGTACAACTATCTCCCTGACAACATTAGAACAATCAAGATCCATGCTTTAGCTTACTAAGGAAAGTGCCCTAATGTTTAAGAAATAAACTAATACCTGGTACTAACTGTTCCATCTATGGCGTGGCGAGCAATCTTTTCTTCAACGCTCTGCAAGACAGTAAGACTATCGTCATATCAAGAGGGCAACAGACTTCTATCTATCTCCGGAGTATCTATTTATATTAAAGCAGTGGACTGTGCACTTGATTCTACCTCCTTGCGTTGAACCGTACCCCCATAGCCCGTAGCTTGACAGAATCTCCTGTACAGAGGAACTGCAGCATAACTACATCCTACCATCGCAAAAACCAATCCCGTTAAGTAAAGGAGCATCTTCTTAGATTTCTTCTCGGTGTAAGCTGCTTTAGTTGCATACTGGTGCTGAAAGTTCAACATTGAACAAGACCTTGCTGTACTATGCCTTCCCAAATTGGAGAACGGAATGTTGCTATCAACTACTGATCGGAATTCACACCTTGGCATCAGGCTCCCACATCCAAAACTCGAAACTTTCCAGCGCCCATTGTTTCCAACACTAAAAAGGCTGTATCTTGGCGCAATAATTTGAAGAGAGTTTCTGATTCAAGAGAGACACATTCATCACCAGAAACATAGTAAAGCCCAATTCTTTTCCACACACTAGAAAGACAATCCCATAAACACACGCATAAATGACTAAATAATCACCTGGATGTTGAAGAGTGAAGCTGAAGAGTTGTTTTAAAAGAATGAAGCGCTTGGGTTCTTCCAAAAACTCGGAAAAATGACATTTTTGTTGAATCAATTCACATTCAGTAGCATCTGAAGCAACAACAGTTCACTCAATTTATATCTTCATTCCCTTGGTTGCAAGAGTCGGGAGCGGAAGCAGGAATTTTCTTCAGTAGAGTTGAAAAAGTAAAGAACTTCTTTAAAAATCAATATCGTTCAAATAAACAACACATTAAAAATAAAAAACAATATAAAAAATAAACTATGAGATAATACCCATCTGCGTTCTGAAATTTTTTCAAGACCTGAACTAGTTTAATAGTATATGTTTTGCTGCTTTTTATTTTCTCTTTTCTTCCAAGTGAATTCATTTCAAAAGGATTGATGTATTCTTTGTTATGGCCTACCATATTTCCTAACATGTAATCAGTAATCCTATAAATTATGGACAGAAGATTTCCCATAAATAATAATTATGTCAGTCCCAAGTTTAAACCTTTAATTTCAAAAGATTTATAACACTAAGGTGGTGTTTGGTTGGGGACTTTTGTAACCTACTATGGGTTTTGATAAGCATTACCATGTTTGTTTGCCTACTTTTGTTATCCTACTATTGTAATCAAATCTTGTAGTAATTACAAAACCCATTACCCTTTTACTCCTCTACTTTTGAACAATGGAATCAAAATTAAAGGAGAAAAAAAAAAAAAAAGGTCATTGTCTAAGTATTAAATATGGAATTATTAAACTCTCGATTATTTGTTATTTTTTTTTAATGTTTGTTTATAGAAAGGATATATTAGAGATTATACAAATTTTTCTAAGGAAGTTTAAACGAACCAAACATGTTAATTAATTTTCCAAATAATTTAATTGTTATGTTTTCAGGGTAACACCAAACATGTTAATTAATTTTCCCATAAAGTTATTCCTATCAAACATATTCCTTGGAAACATTTTCCCGGGAATTTAATTGATGGGAAAGTACCAAACGGCCTCTTAAACTCATTACCATTACCAAGTATTTGACTCCCATCCATTCCGATTCCAATATTTGAACCAAACACACCCTAAAATTCTTTCTAATGTTAATCATTGCTATTACTGATGCACATTATCTTTATATTTCAATTACATCACTAAAAAGCGTTATTCTAATTTTCCAAAGAGTTTTTTCACGAACTGCTGCCCAATCTGCACTTTTATTCATTGCATTCAATCTTTCTAATTTACAGTACAGATCTAAAAATAGAACTTGCTACAACTATATATTCTACCTCAGTCCTGCATTATTTACAGTTATCTCATTAACCACATGCATCAGAATACAAAAACAGTGTCTTAAATCAAGCCACATAATGTAACAAGAACATAATAGCGTAACTAGATAATATATTTCATTTACTAGATTTTAGAAAGGAACAAAGAAATGCAGGAAAAAGTCTCCAGACAGTCTTGTTTATTAAGGAATGAAGTAAATTTGTTATTTATTCCCTCTACATCCAGAACTTCAAAATCAAAGTATTTTTGACACACACACACACAGAGATTCCCTTATGCATTTCAGTCTTCTCCATTACATAGCCAATCTTTTTTGCTAGAGAATCCCCAAATACAATGCAGCCAGCAACCAATTCAATCACCAAAACATAACAAAAATAGAAACAAATATTGGTCCTTTTATGCTTGCCTTACAAAGATGGGAGCTTTGTGAACCCTAAATCACTAATCAAACAAATGAACAATGAAAGTATTTACCTGGAAAAGAGGAGCTTTGTGAATTGTGAATCAGACTAGCGGCGACGGTGGTCAGTGGAAGCCTGGCGTCGGTAGGACCGTAGCGACAGCGTGAACAGCGGTGAATCGTCGTTCGACAGAGTGCCTGAGGGCCGAGGGGCGAAGCAGCGGGAGATGGGAGTATGAGCAGATCAGCAGAGACGCAGAGTATAGGAATAAGAGTAGGATTTCGGGGTTTAGAAAATTAAATTAGAAAATAGAAATTAATTTAAATATTTTTTTAAATAGTCGTGAATTTTTACAATGTAATATATGTTTTATACTTTCTGAAATATTTTGAAACTTAACTTTCTAAATGATAAATTAAAAAAATAAATTAAAAAAAAAAACCAGTAAAGCATCGAAACAGGGTGGTCGAATAGTGTAAAATGATTTTCGTATTTAAATGTCACAAGTTTTATTTTTATTAATATCTTTTTTATGAAACTCATTGTGTATAATTTTTCTAATACGATTTACCTCCAAGTGTAATTTGTAGAGTGTTACAAATTATTTACAAATGAACTATATTTACCAAACATATACACTTGGAGTGTAGTAACTATACATTTTCCTCACTATCTTCTTCAAAAAAAAAATAAATAAAAAATAAAAAATAAAAAGTAAAAATAAAAATTCTCACTATCTAAAAAGAAAATTAGAAAATAAATTTTTTAATTTATTAATTTGGCGGGCCAAACTCAAACCCTCCCGCCCTCAGTGTTGCAAAGATCTCGTCTAGGCGTTGGCCGACCGCCTAGCGTATCACCATAATCAGTGGTTTAGGCGGCCGACTAGGTGCTTAGGTGGCTAGGCCGCTTAGGCGCTAACCGCCTAAGCCTTCTAGGCACCGATTAGGCCGCCTAGTCGGTCGATTAACTATTATTTTTTTTAAACGAGTTATTTAACTAGTGGGTCTATTTTTTTTTAGGTTAATATTTAATATTTTAGTATTAACTATTAAATTATTAAATAATTTATAATTATTAGTCTTAAAAAATAAATAAAAATTAAACATAACTTTAAAAAATAAAAAATAAAATAAAATAAATACGCAGGTACCTAGGAGCCTCCCGAACACCCGAGAAACGCCTAGTGATTTTTTCAACCATGCCCAACCTTGCCAAAGTTCACGGCTCGTGCAGGGTTGGTTTTTGAACCCCACCAAAATAAAAACCCACCTCCTTACTTCCATGGCGGTGGGCGCGAGCTAGCTCAATGGATAAAGTTTATTTTGACAATTCTAATGTTAAGAAAGGCGTGACGTTTTTACCAATAGTTATCTCATAGACCCGGGTTCAAAATACATAATTTATATACTGAATGTTCACAATTTAAATTGTGAATATTCAGTATGTAAACTGTGAACATTTAGTATATATAAAATTGTGAACATTTAGTATATAAAATTGCGAACATTCAATATGTAAACTGTGAACATTGAGTATATAAATTGTGTATTTTTAAACTCGGGCCTACAAAATAATTCTCCGCTTTTTACAAGTTGGGCTTATTTTTATCAAGCCTCCAGCCCAACAATTTACGTGTTGGGCTTTTTTAGTTTAAAAAATATTATTATTGGGCTTATATTATCAAGCCCAATTCACTTTTCTATTCATTTTATATGAGATGAGTCAATTACATTGATTTATTTTTAATTTGCTCTTAAAGTGAGTCAAACCAATCATTATTGTATGGACCATGGTCCACACAACTTGTGTGGATCATATTTTGTTTACAGTAAAATAATATACATTCGGTATAAAAATAATGTACATTCAGTACAGAAATAATGTACATTGTATTCAGGAGATGTACACTATTTTTGTTCTGAGCGTACATTATATTGTATAATGTACATTCAGTACAAAAATAACGTACATTTAATATATTAAAAATGTACTTGTTATTATGGTCCACATAATATTGTGTGGACCATAATTTGTCGAGTCCAACATGGGTTGATGTGCATACAGGTTTATACAATTTTTATTTATTTATTTTTGGTTTAACCTTAGGTTGTTTAATATTAGTCAACTAGAATCACCGAGGCTAGTCATGATAGAATCTAAAAAATTATATATACTACTCCTATTGAGTAAAACTCTATCACTTGTCATTATTGATAAAAAGAAAAGAAATAAATAAAAACTATGACCTACATTTTTTTTTGGATAAATCATAGCAGACCATGTAAGTAGAATGTAAAAAATGAAGTAGAAAATAGCATATCACCTAAGAAAAGAATAAAAAAGGAAGCATACAATAACAAACTATCTAAGTGTAAAAAATGGAGTAGAAAACGAGCTGAGGGTTGAGAGTAGTAGTATTATTCCGACAGAACCCAATACCTCTAGTTTTTTTGTAAGACCATGAGGTGTCCTGAGTAGACTTTAACTGTAAGAGACACTTTTTAAGTCCGTACCATACTCAGACTAATCCAACACCTCTAGTTAAAGAGGGAGAAACACCTACTATCTTATCCATAATTCATGGGTAAAGGTTTATACAAATTAACAGCAAATTATCACAATTTTATAAATAATTAAAATTTGATATAATTTAATTTGTAACTCGGTACTGTTTTATAACTGGTCAAAATAGTTGATCAATTCAAATTTTCAAGTTACTTGTTCTTCAACTTACATGTTTCTAACTCATTCAAAATAACCAATAGTTAATTCGACTGAGTTGAACAATAATCAAAATTCTTTCCTCAACCCATTTTGACCTATCAAAAAATCATCCAAACTGTGTATTTTAACATATTTATTGTTCGGCATCAACTTGGAGAAAATTGTTGCCTACTAGTTAGCTCATCACGTGATTAGGGATGAAAATTTCAAAGAATAAGGGTCAAATAGGCCATCCAACTACACACCAAAATGCAATTAGGCCACTGAACTCAAAAAACCTACAATTAGGTCCCTGAACTACACAAATTCATTCAATTTAACCTAAAATGACTTGTTTACTTGTTAATGTGATGACGTGTCGATTTTTTTTATTTAAAATTAATTTTTAAAATTTTATTTTAATAATTATAAATAAAATAATTATTTTAAACTAAAAAAAAAAAAAAAAAAAAAAAGAAACAGCCCGCTGGAGACGAAGGGAACCCTTCGTCTCCGGGCAGCCAGCTAGGGAGACGAAGGGTCCCCTTCGTCTCCGGGCAGCCAGCCAGGGAGACGAAGGGGATCGTCTCCCTGGCCGGTTGGAGACTTCGTCTCCGGCTAGCCATGGAGACGGTCCCTTTCGTCTCCATGGCTAGCCGGAGACGAAGTCTCCTTCGTCTCCAACCGGCCATGGAGACGATCCCCTTCGTCTCCATGGCGGCCGGAGACGAAGGGGACCCTTCGTCTCCCTGGCTGGCTGCCCGGAGACGAAGGGTTCCCTTCATCTCCGGCGAACTTTTTTTTTTTTTTTTTTTTTTTAAATTTAAAATAATTATTTTATTTATAATTATTAAAATAAAATTTTAAAAATTAATTTTAAATAAAACTGACACGTCATCACATTAACAAGTAAACAAGTCATTTTAGGTTAAATTGAATGAATTTGTGTAGTTCAGGGACCTAATTGTAGGTTTTTAAGTTCAGTGGCCTAATTGCATATTGGTGTGTAGTTGGATGGCCTATTTGACCCTTATTCCAAATTTCAATTCGTCTCGAAAATTTTCACCTGAATTGCATCGATCAATTTCTTTTGATCAATAGCGAGTGATGGGTCAAGGTGAGTTAAAAATAAATAAATAAATAAATAAACTCGCAGGGGTCAGATGGGATGCAAGTCAGGTTTATACCGGAAACCTGCATAGAATCTAACTCAATCAACCATGTTATTGTATGTGTGTATATATATATATATATATATATATATATATATATATATATATATATATATATATGTTGAGTTAAGGCTTGGAGGACCAAGTATACCATCTTGTTATCGAAATGTGGCGTTTACTGTTACACAATTATAAGAAAATAAAGTTACATATCATCTATTAATTAGTTATAGTTTTTAGTGTAATGGTAAATACTTGATCGGACAATTGATATTAGAGTAAGCCATGCATGTTGAGAGGAATTGTTCGGCGGAGGCTCGGAGGACTATTTCTTTTTATTTCCGATTCTGACACTATTTGTTTGCTCAAAATCTTGAACATTAGACTGGCCTTTGGTAACCTTGTTGTAATCTTTGTAATACTCATCACAAGGTGCATGTAAACATGTGTCATTAGAGTGCACACAAATACTTATCCAAATACCACCACACCGACTAGCTAATCTGATATAGGGCTTACATCAACCAAATTTAAGGGAATTAAATCTTTTCCTAAATTGTTAATGCCATTAACATTGTTTATATTTTCTTTCTTATCATATCCTTGATGAAACCATTTATTAGTTTAATTATTCTTTGATTTACCAGAAAGTTTGGAGCAGCCACCTAAAAATATACTTTGAGTGAAACCCTCTGCCTTGTAACTCTAGCCGCCAAAGGACCATAAAAAGATAACTAAAAGTGAGCTTCAAGTGAAGCTCTCGATCGGTCTTTTAACCCTACAAGCTGACAAAGGTAAACCAACCCATAGTTGATTGACTCAAAAACTAGTTGAGGTTGATGAATTGTGCAACCCTAACAAAAAGATCCTAGCTAGTCAAGAATGTAACATGAACTTTGAGGTTACTATGATGTTGAAAATGTGTGAACTTGTGTTTTTCAGCCCTGAAAAACCTCAGAAACATCAACAGATAATCATCATGTTCATGTCTGCTAACTCGAGTGAGATTTAGCTAGCTAGAATGCATGCAGATGGCCATTGCTTCTGTAAACCAACTTAACATTATCTGATGATCTCCTTCTATACTCATCCCAATAATTAACCTTAACCCCCAGAAAACCCCCCAAAAAAAAACCAAAAACAAAACAAAAGCTGCTCCAACCAATGATGTTTTTAGTGATGATCCTTATGAATCCAGTCTGGTCTGCCTAGTGTGAATTCCAAGCTGGGATTTGTTTGTTCCCAACCGGACCCTATACACCTCTTTGGCCTTTCAGATTCCCATTCCTGCACACATGCACCAACATAGATATATATATATATACATACATATGTATGTATATATATATAGTGTGATAAGTTGATAGAACACCATTATTGTTGATAGCTTGCGATGTTGCAGATCAGACATCATGAAACATTAGACACAACTAACCATGTTTGAAAACATACAATACCTGGATGTGATGGTGTTCCGATCTTTGTTGCATTGGAAAGGAAGATGATCTCATCCCATTTGTTTCATTTGAACTAGTCTCCAACAATCCTTCTCCACTGCTCAATGTCAACAACAACATATTATCAATCTTTCCAGATTAAATTAATAACGACACTATATATACGGAGAAAAATCTTATTCTGATCTTAAAATATTCTTTGATGCTAATGTAAGCTTGAGAAAGTGCTGGAAAAAATCAAAATTGTAACATTCAATTACAAAAGTCATGCCCCGGCCCCTTCGCTAAAAGGGCTGTCACATATAATTTTATTTTCTTATACTTATACCAATCAGTGTCACATTTTTATAATGATAGGATTCTAAACTCAGCTCTCGACTCTCTAAGTCGCTGCCCATCCCTTAGGATAGAAAAAAATTGTGTGATGATAATATAAGTAGTTGCTTAAGGTAGAGGGAAAGAATGAAGGCATTATTAGTTATATATATATATATATATATATATATATATATATATATATATATGGTATATATGTCTAATCAAAGTAGAGACAGGCACACGAGCATGCATGGGCATAATGCAATGGAATGGAATGCACATACACTGCTCATCTTTTTTGAATTTTGACAAGAGAATAAAAACAACAAAATTTCACACCTCCCTAAATTGTTCAATTCACGAAAACCTAGATAAATAGTTACTACAAGTCAAAAGAAAAGGAAACAAGTCTTAAATCCCAATAATAAGACAACATGTATACATTTACTCTCCCCAAGCAAAATAAAGGGTTCGAATCTTAATAAGAACAAAAAATGAAGATATATATATATATATATATATATATATATATATATATATATATATATATATATATATATATATATAGTATTTTGAGACTTGTATATCAGTTGAGACACATACAACAATTTACTTCCTCCTCAAATCTTGTAGAAACAGTAAAGAACACATTTGATGTATTTACTAACTATTTTTTTATAAAAAAAAATAAAAAAATATGAAAAATATGAGAAGAAAATAGAAAATACGTTTACTTGTAAAAAAAAAATAAAAAAATACATAAGTGAATATACATTTAAATAATGTTTGAATAAGCATTCTTTTAATTTGACATTGTGTATAGAGGCAAGATTACTACTCGTATATAACAGACACAACTACTTGAAAAATCAAACATAGTACAGTGAGACCATACGATTTAGTGATTTTAGTCTGGCATTATTAAAAGAGGGGAAAAGAAGAAGTTGAAGCAGAAGAAAAAAGCAAAAGCTGCTGCTGCTGCTTCTGATCTGCAAGCTTAGTAAGTAAAACCCTTTTCATCACTCCATCATTACTTCAAAAAAGTTTTTTGTTTCTTTGCATATATATCATGTTATGGAAACTTCTATAATGTCTTGCTCCCATACCACCCTCATTTAAAACATAGTATACCTTCATCAAATATATAAGATTCCGTTTAATAGAGCTTATAGCAAACCTATGCAGAGGTTAAAATTGCTTATTTTGAAACGTTACCTTAACTAGCGTTTCAAAACAGCTATAGTAAAGCTATGTTTGTTAAACCATGAAGAGGTTAAAATAGTTTATTTTGAAACGTTTCCTTAAATAGCGTTTCAAAATAAGTTAATAGCTAAGTACTTTGGGTATAATGTTGGTAATGAATTACCTGGAAGAGTTGGCCCAAAGAGCGGTGGGAGAGAGGAATTCGGGTTCGGGTTGCAATGGAGAAGCCCTTTGGTCCATGAATTGGTGAACGCCGGAGCGATCACCGCCGGCGCTGCCCAGCGACGACTGATCTTCCTCCCCTGACCCGTCAGATTGGCCTTCAAACCGCCCAGAAATTTAATAAATAATGTATCATATCAATAAAAGAAATTAAACAGAAATATATATAATATGAATTTACCTGAGGATGCCGCAGGTTTACTACTTGTGGTTTTGACGGTTCGATACATCTGCATTTGGCAAATGGCAAACCGATTTGAGAAAAACAAGATTGTTTTTTTAGTTTTTTAAGGAAAAAAAAAAGTTTGGTTTCATGAGTAATCACGAGGTCAATGTTCGATAAAAAGTTCAGTGAAACAGGAAGATAGGTTAGTACCCAGTTGTTGTATTATTGAGAAATGATGACTGAGTTTTGTCTGAATTGAATATGAATACTGTTCTAATACACACATACATACACTTTCTCTCTCCTCTCTCTCTCTTCTTTTCTGCGTCGTCTGCCGTCAGATCAGAAGGTCAGACTTCATTTCTACTGTGTACATTCATTCACTCATTCACTGTCGGCTACTGTTCCGGAGAGAGAGAAGAGAGAAAGAGAGAAAAAGATCCATAGTTTGAAACAGTGTTTCATGGGTTCTTCTTTAACTTTTCTTGAATTTTGATTTGGTGTTTACCTGTAAATGGCTCTTGACATGAGCTAAAGTGAGATCTTTGACATCCATTAGCTCCAGTACTGATTTCGGAGTCGCTCCTGCAAAGTTTTAATGCCGGAAATTCAGTCTTTATTACGTTGAATGTTAGGAAAGAGATGAAAATTGTACGTTCAACATATATATAATATATATAAAGATAAATGTGTTATCAGACTTTAGTTGAGACAAAACATAGACCAAGCAGATAGAACATAGACCGAGCAGATAGAGGGTGGATATATATATATATATAGGGGGAAGAAGATAAGATGGTTTACTTTCATGGCCGCCGAGGAGTTCGACGGCGTGGACGAAGCGGGAGTGGAGGGTGGAGGTCCAGCGCATTCGGGGGGCTCTCATGCTGCGTTTCGCCGGAAGTTTGGGGTAAAATCTTGATCTCATGGTTAGGCCGCCGTGAGACGGCGGAGCGACGTCGCTGAGGTGGTGGTGATGGGAAGCTGCTGATACGCCGTACTGGTGGTGGTGGTGCTGCGGCAACTGATACGGCGAGGATAGCCCGTTGAACCTCCCCGCCGCTCCCGCTAAACTACTACCGTACGCCGCCGCCGAAGCCGTAGCGTTGTTGTTGTTCAAGACCGACAAATGATCCAATCCTCCGCCGCTAAAATATGGCGAGGAGTGGAAACAGATTTTCGGATCCGCGTATCTAGGATGACGATCCGACCCCAAGAACGGAAACCCCCGGCTCTGGTACACGGGAATTCCCTTGATAGGCGGCGACAACCCCCCTAAGTCGCCGGAAACCCCATCATTTCCGCTCTGAAATCCATGGGTCTGATAAGCAGCAAGAAGATGGTGTCCTTGTCCTCCTTGTTTTGTCCCCCTCACGAACTGTCTCTCCTCGTTTAGGTCATTCGTTGTTGTCGGACGAGCCAACGACAGGTCGGTGTACATCTGCGCCGCCGCCGCCGCCGACTTGACGTTGCCGGCCGACAGATCATTCCCGCCGCCGACGGGAAGGCTAATATGCAGGGAGAGATCCGGGTTGGAAGAAGAGGGTTCAATGAAAACCCCTTCCAAGGGCATCTTTCTTTTTAAAGTAAAATTTGCAGCTTTCAAGAAACACAAAAACCACTCTCACTACAAAACACCTACTCAAAATTCGACAATTATTGTTTCCAGCTGCACAATCATTAAAAACAACAAAAAAGTTCAAGAAACCCAACGAACACAACACAGATGGCAATTCAACACGACCAAACTCATACGATGATGATGAAGAAGACGAGGAACAAGAGAGTTGTTTTGCAGAAAATGAAGATTATTGAGGTTCGGAATTAAAGGGGAAGAAGAGTGCAGTTGAAGAGAAGGATAAGAAAATGGAATAAAAGGGAAAATGGAGAAAGAAATGCAGAAGGGAATGGAGGGGAGGAGGGATTTGGGGTCTTGTGTTCTTTACGAGAGAGAGAGAGAGTATATCTACGAAAATGACACTACAAGTATGTCTACAAGTAATATCCGTCGAAGAGTCACACTACAATAAGTTATGGGGCATAGTTATGTGTACGTGAAAAATTATCTGAATATTCCTAGCAAATAAGAGAGAGAAAAAAAAATTGTATTCAATGGAGAGCTAATAATAATAATGATAATAATGATAATAATAATGAGTTACGTACATGGTATTTTTTGTCCTACAATTATATAGAATTATTGATGTAAGTATAGTTAATTCTTAATGTACGGGTAATTTTTTTAAGATGACAGTTTTGTTTCGTTGGCAACCGAGACCGTTGAAGTCAGTCACATTTGCATTGCATGTGAGGAACCAATTAATCTATATATATATATATATATATACTCGCATATATATGACTCTACCACCAGAAAGAACTAAGCTAGGAACCACTTAAAGTAGTTAATCTAAAAAGATCTAACGACTTTAAAGTAAGAAAAGATGAAGAAATTGCAATGATATTTTCGTAAATAACTCAAACTTTAAAGTGCAATTAACAATATTATATAGTGAAACTAACAATGCCACAAAGTAGGTACACCCATCATATGTATAAATGCAATGAACAAATTAACTTTGTAGCTTTGCTTAGTTGCACTCTATAGTATATATTATTAATATATAGTTGCAGTTTATTTACAAAAGTGCAAAATGCTACTAACTCTATTACAATGTAGTATCTGTTCTAACGCCTCTAGCGAGACTCAAACTCACAACTTTCCAAATGGAAGTCCAACTCGGATACCATTAGATCACATGGTCTTGATTTAATAGCTTTGTTTAGTTGTACTATATAGTGTTAAAAGTTGTATTTTTGTAATGTTACTAGTTGCACTTTATAGTTTGAGTCATTAACAAATTAAAAATGTTGCTGCAATTTTTTTCCCCTCTAATTGTTGATTCAAACTTGTTAAATCTTCCATATGGATGACTCTGATTGGTTAATATTTCTCTCCTAGGAAGTGGTTCTCCGCAGTGTGCCCCTATGTGTGTGTGTGTATTTATTTATTTTGTTTCCACAAATCAATGCATGTCATGCAAAGGTAATATATATTTTTGGGGTCACACTTCTATGAGACCGTATCACGAATGTTTATTCGTGAGATGAGTTGGGTCAGGTCATATAATATTTATATTGAAAAATGTAATACTAATCATGAATAAAGTGTTTGTTACTTATCAGAAAAAATGTAATACATTTTGATGAAAAATGTAATACTTTAGATCAAAATATAAAAGTATTTAAATACTTTATTCACATATAAGTAATAAACACTTTATTCTTGATTAGTATTACATTTTTTAGTGTAAGTATTACATTTTTATTTTGACCTGACACATCTCACGGACAAGGATCCGTGAGACGGGCTCACACAAGATCTTTTTTTTTTTTCCCCATATTTTCGATAGTATAATTAGTATTTTTTTTTTTTTGAAAAGGGATACACAAAATAATGAAATTAGAAATTAACCCTAAGTACTATATATCTACCTCATATGAAATTTCCGTACTAATAATACCGATTTAAAAAAAAAAAAAAAAAAAAAAAAAAAACGCAACCGTATTGTACATTACAATATATTATGACATAACATAATAAATAAATAAATAGGGTTTTTGAACTAAGAATGGAATTAACTTAGTTATTAATGTAAGAATTGAACTTTTAAGCTGCATAACATAATGTAATAGTTATTAACATCATTTGTACAAATTAAAACATATAAACAATATTTTTTTTTTTGTAAATTGCTAAACTTTATTTTATTTAAAATTTTAACAAATTAAATACAAAATTAATTTATTTATATTTATAATATAATAATTATAATAAGTTTTTATTTTTCATTACTTATTTTATAGATGATAAGTAATTAATATATACTTATTAAATTTTATTTTAAAACTTTGTTTAAAAAATAAAACAAGACAAGAGAGGAGTGTATGCATGGTCCCTTGTATATTGAGTTCTCAATCACTTGTAAAATTAAAAAATAATTAAAAAAAAAAAAAAAAAAAAAAAACTGGTTTTGAGTGGCCGAGGCCATTACACTTACTCGCTCGAATCATTGGGTTTATGTTTATCGATTTTGGAATAACGAGCTAATTTTCTTATGATATCTATTTTTACTCTATTTTTTTTCTAATGGCAGCACAAATGCACAATAATTTTAGGCTAAGATTGAACGTGGGATGTTATAATCCCTTTATATTGAGAATGTTTAGACTTCCGATTGAGGAAATTATTGATATTATTTGAAAACATTTTTAGTATAATTTGATGATTATGAATGTGATATTTCATGATTATACTATAAAATATGATAATTATTCTTGACAGTAATTCGCAATGACATGAAAATTTATATTCAATTAAATTACAGAACAATTTCAATCAAATTGGTCAAATTGGTTGCTTGGTAATTATAATGTTCCAAATTTATCGAGATTTATGCAGTACACACTATTAAATAGTGATTATACATTTTATAATATTATACGAAGTAGTAAATTTTTATATCGCATTATACTTGGTATAATTATGTAGGTATATTTGATTATACTAGGTACTATCAATAATCTATATATTAGCAGCTAGTACTTATAGTACCTAGTAAAGTCATGTCAGACATACTTACATGAATACAACTTGATATCAATTTCAATCGATGCATATATTAGAGAAAAACCTAATATTATATAACAATAAATTGTACGAGACCTTCTCACATTAGAGGAATATTAATTATTGTAATGCTTTTTATGAGCCAACATGTACTAAAAATTTACTTAAAAGTATTACTTATTCATTAAAACATAAACATTTAAAAATTTTCATTGCTAAACAATAAAAATTATTATATTTTAGGTGACTCTCCTATGAAATCGTCTCATGAATTTATATCCATGCAACGGGTCAGGTCTATATAGAAATATAATATTAATTAAAGAGAAATTGATTGTTACTTATTAGAAAAAATATAATACTTTTTAAATTAATATGTAATATTTAGGATTTTAATAGTTACTTATAAGAAAAAACGTAATACTAATCATGGATAAATTGGTTGATTGTTACTTATAAGAAAAAATGTGTTACTTTGATGAAAATGTAATATTACGGGTTGAAGAGTTACTCACTTATTAGTAACTCGACATGTCCTACAAATCTTTTAATAGGAGATTTTGCCTTGTATTTTTGTTAAAATGTATTATCTTCTCACGTAAAACGATTTCACACTAGACTAACTGAGATATTATATTATATGATTTTAATTATCGGCCCACAAAGGCACATTTCAACTGGTCATCAACTAATCAAAATAAATTTATAAACACTAATATACAAACATTTCAGGACATATAGTAATACAATTGAGGCATATCCAATTATTTTAATTATCTTACAATAAAATAAAATAAAATAAAATAAAAAGATTAAAAAGAAGAAAGTGCAAGTAGCCAAGCAGACCTATTGAGTAGGACTACTTGAGAGCGAAAGTGGGTCCCACAGGGTCACAAAAGAGAGAAATTCAACAAAAGGGGTGTTTGTTTGGTAGCTAGTAGTGGTGCGTAGTACTATATTGTAATATTGTTAAATATGTATATGTACATACACCTGAAAGACAACCTACTAATGCATTAGGCTTCTATATTCATCTCCTTGTGTATTCCCTTCTTATCTTTTCATTTAGGGCAATTTGGCTTTATTATTATTATTATATTTATACTTCTTTTCACCTTTAATATCATAACAACATCTATGTATGTACCCCCTTTCATATTATAGCCCTAGCTAGATTTCAAAAAATTAACAAATACAAATATTCCTACCATAAATAAACGCATGTATATGTATATATCCAAAACTAAGTTAAAACCAAAAAAGAAATTAGTCCTATCAAAATAATATGGCACATTATTATATACCTTTTATATTGATAGAATAATAAAGAAAAATGTCAAAGTCACATTGTGTGTGTCTAAACACTTGGACTTGGTTGCTCTCTTAGATCCAAACAACTAGTTAGGTGTGCATTGTCTATTTGAAAAAATATTTAATGGTAGAATTATTGGTGAAAGTTGATTTAGCATATTAATAACGTGGGCCAAAATCTCTAATGTGTTTAAACTCTTTATTGGATGTTAAAAAAATATATAGATATGCGGGAGATACTATTTATAGAGAAATGGTCTAGATACGCAATTGATCAATTTGGTTAATTATTTACATGACAATGTGGTTGATACGATCAGTCATCACTTCAATTCAATCTGATAGTGTTAAATGGTAAGTTAGTTAAATAAATAGCTGCAATGATAGTCTACAAGTCTAGCAATATACTATAGAGAAGAAGAGCTTACTAGTTGTGTGCTGAGCTTGGTAGGCTAACCCAAGCACTAGGCAATTAAGTCTCTTAGTTTAATTTGCTTAAACTCTAACATGGTTTAAACTCTTATTTATGTCCAATTAAGAGATAGGTAAACAATTTTCACTTGATCTAACATGTTGCTTCTTGATTAGCTAGTATATATACTTGATGATTTTAGTCCGCTCAAGTTGTCAAGAAGTCTACACTCGAATGGATTT